CTATAGACTAGAGCAATATTTTCTGGATTCATCCTTAAATCGGGGACACACTGAAACTTCCTATCAAAATTATTATTCGATAGATTTAGCTCTTCTCGGATAAGTGGAAGGAGGAATGTAAAAAGGGCGGAAAACCCTAATAAAACTAGCGTCTTCATGAAATAGGCCCAATGATACAAGGTGAAAAGTAGGGAAGGAATGAACACTGCGTAAGCCATGAAATAAATTAAGGTATCGTGAGGAAATATATTTGGAATGAAAGTGGGGTGCTTTGGTATGAAGAAAACCGGTAAAATCGTCATTAATGGGATAACGTCCAACATGAAGCTGACAAAGTTAGCAAACGGTATCCATTTCCGATTGAAGTTTGCAACCGCCTGAGAATCTTGACGCGACCACAATCGAGCTGAAATTATTCAAGTATTTTAAATTATTGGTTATCCATCATGATCAACCTGCTTAAAAATAAATTCGATACATAAATTGTGCTAATTAAATTTTACTTACCGCTAAACTCAGTCGAATACAGAATCATGGAATTCATCAAGCACGCAAAGTCTTGACCTTTGAAGGACAGCAAAAATAGGCTAATGCATCCCGTGACCATGATGTAAAAGACTAGCAACAAGTAATTAAAGGTTGTCGCATCTCCGAGACGTTTGAAAATAATGGCTTGATAAAGGTTAGTGATTGCATCCAGAATTAAAAACATTTGGACAATAATGGAATTAGCATAGAGCGTAGAAGAAAATTTCAAACGGTGAAACTCTGGGTTCCAAATGTAAGGGAAGCTGAATATATTTCCAGATTTTACACTTTTTCCAAACTTGGCAAGAAATTCGTCAGTAAACATTTTGCTATTGTAACGTAGCAACTGCTTGCAAAATAGAGTCAATTGCAAGAAGCCGATATTTGTAATGCAGGAAATAAATACTTGCAAAATGTTATAGGCCATAAATAAAATTGCAGATATAAAATGTATAGCTTAAGACAATTATTGTTTTTTCTGCAAATAAGATATATAATTATTATTACTTGTTTCGTTTGAGGCTATGGATCATGCTGTATTCATTTTTTGTGTACAAAAAATCCGAGAAATAAACCTTTGTTAATTAGTATAAATTACCTAAATGCGATAATGTGATATTCCGTGCATATGTACATGTACATACAAATACTTATGCACACATGGAAAGGTATACATCATAGCATTTTATTATTTCATATACTAATTTATTTTGCATAGCATATAAATGTCTTTACATCGTTTTAAATTTTTCAACCACAATTGTCCAAATTTGAAAACTACAACAAAAATTGCTTTTTATAATCCATGCCTAATTTGGGATATACATGCTTACATCTATATATGTAAAGGGTGTTAATAAAGTCCGATCCCATGCATTTTTTGGAGCGTGGTTGTTACAAATTCAGCTGGAACTTTTGAACCAGTGAAGTTATTTATTTCAAATTTTTACCATGGGAGGAACAACTAAACGTGTAAGTCATGAGCATCTTAGAGTTGAGATACAAACATTGCATCAGCAGGGGCTTAAACCTACAGAAATTGTGCAAAAATTGGGCTGCAGCCGCAGAACTGTTTGGAAATGGAAGAATAAAAATTTTGTCCACGACAAAAAGCGACCAGGGCGACCCAGAAAGGTGTCACCTACCACAAAAAGAATGATTAAAAACAGACTTTGCAAGAAAACCGGTAGTTCATTACGTAATTGAGCAAGGGAGTTAAATGACTCAAAACGCTATAAAGAGAAGAAGAAGCAAATTAACTGTGTGACCGTGCAAAAATTTGTGAAAACTACGAAGTGGGGTCACACAGCTTACAAACTAACCAAAAAAACCTCTCATGTCACAAAAATATATCGATGACCGTCTGAAATTTGAAGAACTCCTTCAGAAAGTGCCCATTTGAGTGAAAAAAGACTTGGTGAAGAATTGCGCAGTCACATCCTTTGGACTGACGAATCTATTATTGAACTATATCCAAAATTGAACCAACAAAATGTTCGTTACAGGACAGAAAACAAATCGGATGTACCATCAAGAGCGATCCCAAAATTCGGGCTTAAAGTTATGGTAGCGGGTGGATTTTGTGCACGTTGCGTGACCCCTCTACATATCATACCAAAAGGCAAATCAGTCAATGCAAAGCATTATATGGAAAAAATATTACCTATCTATTTCGATAGCATGGGGAACAAGGAAATATTTCCGAATGAAAGAAAAATAGTTTTCATGCAGGATGGTGCTATAGCCCATACAGCAAAAGCGAGTTTGAGTCTCATCAAGACGCAAGTTTCAACGGTCTGGAGCAAGGGGGTGTGGGCCGCTAACGGCCCAGATTTGAATCCCCTGAAGAACCAGTGGTCCATACTTAAGGAAAATGTATACAAAGAGCCACAACCCCGGACGAGGGAAGAGCTAGTAAAAAAAAGTTCAAGATGTATGGAATTCGATTTCCAGAGGCACATTGGAAAAATTAGCACAGAGCCTTAAACAAAGAGTTGAGGGCATGGTTAAAGTAAATGGTAACAAGACCAAATACTAAGGTAAATATGTCGAACATTTTTTGTAAGTATCACGGGTAGTTTTTTTTTATACTAGCCTTCACTTTTTTACAGGAAAAATGGGATCGGACTTTATTAACACCCTGTATACTTATCGTTATTCAGTGTACATTTATTTGTTAGAGAAAATTCGGAGTACATTAGCATGGAGTTACATTTAGTTAATTATGAACAAGTTTATGTTGCATTATTGTAGTATGAATACATAGGTGAGGTATGACGCAAATAGCGCAAAAATTTAGGAATTTATTTGTAATCCACTTACAAGCATAGTTTTATGGAAAGACGGATAGGCATTCTTGGTATAAATTGTATATCTAAATTTGAAAAACATCGGTTAATAAATATGTATATCGCTCGTAGTATGTATTTCAAGTGGAAAAAATGAATTCACAACGTACAACGTAGAAGTAAATGCTGATGTGTATTAAAATTTGCAATATTACCTAAGGATAAGTCAACTATTTCTGAAAATGGATTTATCCCAGTCACCCCTTCCTCCTAGAGTGCTGACCTTGTTAAAAAATCTGCAATATTACACCTGAAAATTCCAGGCAGCGGTGAATAAGTCCACAAATGGACGTAGGGATAATGCATAAAGAATTAAAGTGTGGACATGAATTTCATCCCGAATTTAATTTTTCATCCAAATTTATTTTAGTACCTGCTTAAAATCATTTCATCTAACGTGTTTACTATTACATTAATCATTATGCAAACTAAACGCAGCCAAGAAATATATTTCGTTCCTTCGTGCTTAGGATAACTTCGGTGTGTCTCTATAAAGTGGAAGCGTCATGAAACACCCTGCAACAAATGGGCCGGGTCCGATTAGTGCAAATAATTGTCATGCACTTCAAATCCAAAGTGTCAAAAAATTGGGGTGGGATTTTTGAGCAAATGTGGGTTTAACACGGTAATATGAGCAAATCCTTAATCTAAGGCCACATTAAGCTTCAACAGCATGCATATGTCATGCATATACACTTGCTTGTGTTTACGCACTCTGAACACGACAAGTGATAAGTACTCTAACCATACCTACATATGTACATATGCGTTTAGTAGCCCAGTATTTTGAGTTCATAAGCCAACGTTTACAAATATATTTTAATATGAATTTGAAAGTCTGCTGATGAATATTTGCACCAAAAATTATAAAAAACTTAAAGAATACTCATATAAATTGACAGGAGATGGAGTAAAAATTTCCAGGACGACTCGTCACCATTTCCAACAATCACATATGTATACTAATCCAGAGTGTATGCAAAATTTTACTTTCATATCCAGCTTTTTCATTGTCAGCAATTTATCATTCAAAACAAATATTGACGCGCGACTTCCTCAGTTATATAAAATAAATCCATATACGTCTGTTCCAAAAACGTAATTTCCACCTTCAACCTAACACACAAATAAGTGTGCAAAAAACCAAGCTTGTTTTGTAATGATATTCTATGCCCTTTGGAACAGTCGTCGTTCGAAGAAAAGCTGCGTTCATACTTTACTTCTTGGCGGCTTAACCTACAAAATTGGCATTTGTATTTGCAAACGATGTATAAATGCACCTTATGGCAATTCATGTAATTTCATTTAATTGTCATTGTAATTGTTTGACCGTGACGTCAATCATTCATGAGTCGAGCATCAGGGCGGAATTGGCATCAACAACATTTTAGTTTTGATAAATATTTAAGTAATTTGTTGAATACCTACTTTATTTTACATCTACGCCATTTGGTTGGGATTTATATCTACATATGTATACATACATGCGTATTTTAACCAGACAAAGTGAATTAGGGAGGCGAACGTAGGACATCTTTACCGTTTGAAAGGTCCACTAGGCCTATAAAGCCAACTCAAAAGGGCGAAAAATTCGAAATAGCCAATTTCAAAGCCTTACCAAAACTACAATTTTTGTCAGACTTCAAATTTTTACCAAAATGTGGTAGCAGATAGTTACTTTATCATATCCAAAATCAAACTCGGGTATTATAAAACAACTATCTGGTATCACAATAGTACAAAGAGTTTCAAAAATCCCATCAAAACTGGAGTTTTAGTGAAAGTTTAAACAGCGAATTTTTTCGTATTTTTGGCCCCTAGAGTAGATGACGGGGGTTGTAGACCATAACCCTCCTTCACTTTTCCAACGTTCATTAAGCCCAACAGAATATCAATAGGGCATCAATATCTGGCATTGACAATGTCGTGCGTCCTCCTCCTATACAATCAAATTCCGTTTTATCCCGCATAATTTATTGATATCTATGAATATTAATCAGAAAATCGGAATAAAACTAGTTGCATGACAATAGTGGAACATAGATATACGCATACCATAACAAGGCATGAACAAATCACGGACTATGGATCCAGCTTTTGCATCGGCATCTGATATATAATGAAATTCTTTCCATAACCTAGCATTCGCTTAAAGTTCTCCGGCGCAGAATATTGTGAAATCTGAACTGCAGAACTCTAACAGGGTTCCCAACAACAATGAAGATATTGATACCCCTTCTACTATGGGGAACCTGTTTCATCGCAGCGTTTGAGGTGAGTTATTTAATTCATATTTAACTCCTACCTTGACCAATACATTCACCTTTAAAACTCATGGCGCATATCTTGCAAAATGTACACCCTAAACAAAGTTGAGTAAAATTTACTCGACGTAGGTAAAATTTACTCAAGGTTGAGCTATAATTTAACAACGTTAGATAAATTTAAACTTCTTTACAGTTTTAAATTTTACATAATCCGTTGTGGCATCTAAAATTTTATTCAACATTTTCCGTTTGAATAAAAATTTCCAAATTTTAGTCAAATTTATTTGGAGTGTGAATTAATAATTTTAAAGTAAACCAAACAATCTACCACTTCAGGGGCGCCTTATTCTCCAATCAACGATTTTTTAAATCAGTAAGTATATAATTTAACATTATGTATGTAGGTGGTTCCCTTGAACTCCCTAGAACCGGAAACACGTTCCGTCGCTAGTGCCACCGTTGGTACTTCCTTCTACTACAAGTACCCTGCCGGTTGTACGGTGACATACCCACGGGATACCACCTTCAACTTCTCTGGCTCCTACGCGTATGTACAGTATGTGACCGGCACGACGGTCTTATTCATCCGACAGACGTCAGTAATGTTTACAGATCCCACAACATTCTGCGGAGTTGAAGGACAAGTTAAGATTGTGGGCGGGACTAGCATGATATTTCCCATTAATTCCACCATGACATTGCCCCCACACACGGTGGTTCGGTATGAAGCGAGTTATGGGATGCAGCTTCGTCACCAGTGGAACGGGGGTGAGAACGGGATGGGTGTGGTGATTTGGCCTTACTCAGTCGGAGTAACTATTATCACAACGGGAAATGGTGGAAATAATGGGTGCATGGTTTGAAATTTTACAAAATTTCGAAACTGACAAGAAATACAATTGCTTACTGTAGATGATTTCTAGAGGATCAATTTGATTTAAATAAATAAGTTGAAAGTTGCATGCAGCTAAATATGGTTCATGAAAACAAATAATTTAAATGGAAAATTAAATGTTGCAAGAGGTCAACAAACTATCTACATGAGTATGACCAATTTTCATAAAAAATTATGACTTTTTAAGAACCGGTTACGAACATAATTTCATTTGTATAAATTAATCCATACAAATTCATCCATATATACAAATTAAGACAAGAAGCATTTTTGAACATTTATTTACATATTCTTCTTTATCCTTACAACTTGTAAGTACTTACTTAATTTTTAATAAGTTTACCAAAGCAAATGTAGTTAAATCAATTTTCGTTTAACGGTTGGAACTGATTTAAAACAAATACGTAAATTTTATTAGAAAATTCAATATGGTTACGAAATAAACGTATGCATGCCTTCTTATAAGGAGAAACAATCCTAGAACATTTTTTAAACTATTTTCTAACTAATATGTATACATATTATAGATGATTTAAGTTACCTAAATAAAATTCTCAAATTCAAATTTTCGAACTCATACATCATATGTACTCCTGAGAACTTTTTGTGCTCGATTGTATGATGTAAAATATTTTTTGACTCTTCAAACCAGCATATAACGCAAAAACATGTTTTCACATTTGATATTTCGGTGCAGTTATGGTCAATAATAAGATTCCATGCAAAACAAGAATTTTGCCAACGTACATTTTTACAGAATTTGAAATTGATTTGCAAACTGCATATTTTATTAGTTAAGTGATTCAATACGGCTGCTCGAATCATGAAGCTCATGGAAAATGAAGTGCATACATTTACTTATTTATTGCCAAACATCATTTCAGCAAACATGTTTAAACATGTCAACTCAACTGTGTACATATTTAATGCAATTTATCATGTTCAGTTTATACAGATATGTAACATTATAGTTAAAAAATGATTTATTCGAATTATTCTACTGTCTGATTTGTGACCCCGAATAAACTTGAATGCTCACAAAGAGTTCGCATCGTCAACAACGTTATCAAAAAAATAGCAGCAAAAAATTTCTGCTTTAAAATTCATATGTCAACTTGGCTATATTCAGGTCGCAATTTTTCAACATTATGCTGCAATTCGTACACTAATTTCCCCCAATAAGTCGTTGAAAATAAACATGTAAGCTGCCAATCAAGTATATGTAATTGAACAAGTGCAGTTATCATCGTTTTGATTTTCGGATGATTGCATCGTATTTGTCAAGCCAAACTTCCTGTACTCTCTTGAAACCACTCACAATGTACATACGTGCAACTTGTACGGTACAAGCATGTATACTGTTAGAAATCTGGTACATATAGTCACGTATCTAGGTATTGATTTGTCGGTACTAAAGTTGCCACTGCTTGGTATTAAAGTTATACCGGTCCATAAACGTTTGCTACCTATATGATAACCTTTAATACCAAGCTATTGTTACACCATATTTCCTGTCAATACCACTTTGGTAGTCATATATCAATACCGCTTGGTATTATGTTTCATATACATACTATATTATATTATATGTATTAATACTGGATTTCTACAAGTCGATTATTGAGATGAGACATAAAATGTATTGATCCCTAATACTTACATTTAATTTACTCTACAAGTTTACATAATAAACAACTGTCTTACGCGTCTCCACCAATATTGACATATCTGTCCTATATTTAATTAAACAGATAATGCAGCAACAACATTGAACATGAACTTTATTTATTTGCGAGTGCAAAACTTGCGTCATTACGTAATTCCTACTGCGAAGTATATATGCATACATAAGTACACAACACTAAATAAATGGTTGATAAGAATCTTTATTCGCGTAGAGATATCCGCCGACGAGGCGACGAATTGTTAAATATTGTGTTAATTCTGACGTTTACAATGCACGAGGAGCCATAATCCGCCATATTTTCACAGAAACTCCATGGAATTTAGATTATCGGTTTGTCATGTTAACCACATTGATAAAACTGAACACACAAATCCCTCAAAATTATTTATGTCTGATTTCTCTGCATCCGCTCCTTATCAAATTGACTGATATGCCCAAATATTTTGCGTGGTTATGAACGTTTTGCCGTTATTTCGTCTCGGACAAGGTGCGCGACAGGATGTACAAATAATTTTTGCAGTTTAAGTTGATTAATACGAAAATAATTTTGAAGTCATGGATCCCTTACTACATTACGAGGAGAAGTATTATGCTCTGCAAAGTGGCCTGAATCAGGTCATCGCGTCCGAAGAAGTTGGACCCAGTTATATTAGCGAATCAAAAAAGATGCGAGCACTAATTAGCTGCGTAATTGGTGAAGTGTCAAAGTTAGTGGTGGACGTGGGATTGCTACAGGGTAAATTATTCTTGATTTGTTTATGGCAATGCAATAGAGGTGGGTTAAATTAAAACTATTTTTACAAATTTATTAAACATTTGCAGTTGACATTCTAACGAACGAAGCATATTATGGGAGTCAAGATGTGCAAGCCCAAGCAGGAGCGTATAATCTGAGGGCTATTCAAGCTGGAAAGGAGTCTTTGTTAAGCCAGAAGGTAATGCATACATATGTACATAGATACAGACAAATAAGTATAATAGTGTAGGTCAGAAAAGTATACATATTTCGCCGAACATTGTGCAATTTATGTGACCGGTTACATGTCAATTTGCATTTTTGCATTGTTTCATTATGCATACAAAATTACCCCCAAAGCATTTAACCTAAACAGTCACTTAATGACTACTAACCTAAACAGCATATGTACATACATGTAATGTCATTTTCAATACCGGCATTTTTCATACTACATTTGTACTTGGGAAGCAAGTACTCCTTCATCACGTTTTCTTTGTATCTATACCAACTACACCTTTAAATTTTAAAATAGATATCTAAAAATTAAATAATAATGTCCGCGTTTATTGAACAACTCAAAATTTTCAAATTTTCAAATAAGTATCGGGTTTCTTTTGACGAATGTTTTTTTAAATCGTGTTCCTGTATGGAATATTATTTGTGTGGTATTTGTGAGAATTTTCGTATTGTCTAATGATTTTAGTTCTCACTAATAATCAGAAGTTTCAGAAGTTATTTCTATTTTGTAATTTATGGGAAAATATTACACAAAGTGGTTGTTTATACCATGTGACTTTTATGAGAAAAAAATTATACTATATGTACTACCGATATGTAAAAGAATTATGCAAATTGACACACGACATGACAAATGAATCCATTAAGTTTAGAATAATCGTCTTGTAGGTTAATCAATCGGAATAATGGACATGTTGATTTAAAGCAATTGTATGACACTAAAAATTAGTTCCAAGCTTTAATAAATTCCTCCATTGAGGCGAATGTACTTTGTAATTTATGAACATATGTATGTATGTAAATATATGCTCGTCATAAAAAACATTGGGGTCCTTAAGCAGATTGTGAGATACTATTAGTATCTCACACAAGTATCATACTAAACAATGTCAAAAATTTATGGCATTGCTTTATTTAATCTCTTTACGTGCGAAATTTACATAATATGTATGTAAATATGTCCTTAAAATTAACACTGACCTGGCAAAACTCAAAGGCAACTCCAAGGTTTATCGATTTTCTATCTAATTTTGTAAATATCGGCTTGATTGATATCTTAACCAATTTCCGAGTACTCAAAGATACGGTTGATTTTGAATTACTGAATCAAGTTCCAAAGGTCCAGTAGAGTGTAAATAAGTTTACACTAAATTATGATAGACTGTTTATCATTCAAGCGTTAAAAATAAGTACATATGTACGTGAAACCTTTTATAATACTTATTTCAGGTGGCCTCACTAATTCGTGACCTCACAAACTTCGTCTCCCACATGAAAAACGCGATTGACAAGACCAAAGAATTAAGCTATCAACTATACGCCTTATTTAACGAGTGGAAGGACGAGCAGCGTCTGGCAGGTAATGGATTTCAAATCGGCTACAATTTTGACCGGATTTGTGGCCTTGGACAAACCTACAATTTATGTCTGGAGCAACTTATTGACCAGTTGGAGGACAAAGACAAGATTGAACAGTGCTTATTACAATGTGGAGAACCCAACACGGGGGATGTTGCACAAATTTGGAATGAATTCAGAGATGAGGTAATTCAAATTAAAAAAAGTAAATATGTGTAGACACTAAAAATAATATTCTTCTTGGCGTAATTACAACAATTGGCAAGTTAGATAAGTATTTTCCTACGCTCATTTGCGGAGGTTGACGAGAATACACCTAATGTAAACATTTGATTTTCTCAATTTCCATCACAGCTAAACCAACTTCGGCTGGAATCCGCAAGGTTCGAGGTGACCAAACAACCCCCACAAATCCTTCGACTAGGATCCACCCTTAAGCAGTCTATTGATCTACGCTTCGTCTTCGGAAGTGGGCTGACACTAACAAAAGGTTATCTCGAGGTCGAAGCCATCCTACTAGACGAGCCCGAAGTTACGGCGGGAACTTGGAAGGACGAGTTTTGGCGGCAACCTCATATTCCCGCATCTTACACGAAATTAGTCCACGATAAGGCCAAAGTCACGCAATGGAATAATGGCATATTTTCCGTTACACTTTCCAACATCGAGATACCCGACAAGAGGAAAAAAGTGAACGAAAAGAGGTGCTCGGCTAGTGCGAAATATTGCTTCGCATTTTGCGCAACCTTGAATCCTCCTGACAGCGAACCAATACGGGTAAGTGGGTTCGTTCGCAGTATTTAGTTGCTCTTAAATTTTACGATTGTCATAAATGCATAGACCTGGACAATATCTGTCCCCTTTGCGCTGACTATTCACCCAAACCAGGACGCCAACGGGTGGGCAACAATTCTTTGGTACAACGCGTTCGCCCTTCCGAATCGGACCGCTTTCCAAGTCATTCTAGAAGTCGATGTACACTATTTCTTACAAATTTTGAGCAACATCTTTCTGAAGGAAACTGGCCGTGGATTTTCCGACTCACAGAAAAAGTTTCTGAAACTAAAGTTGATGGGGTAAATTGATAGATAATCATATGTTAAATCTATGTAGTTAAATTGATTGTTCCAAATTTTCAAAATTCAGACATTCCAAGGGTCCCCTCACGTGGTATATGTTTGCCAAAGACAAGCTTAATTGTTCAATGTCCACCAAGAAACGAAAAGGAAACAGCAACAGCGGCGAAAAAGAGACCAAGATAACCTTTAACGTCTGGCTGTTCAAGATTATGACGATGCTGTCCTCCACAACGGACCAGGAGAATGAGCCGCCCTCACCGATGGATAGCGATAGCAGCAATAGTTCAGGCCCAAATAAGCGAAAGAAGCAGAGGAAATCCCCGCCAAGGAGGACCGCTACCATGCATGAGAAGAATGCTATAGCCCATTATTGGAGGGAGGGATTGTTTGAAGGCTTCGTGACCAAGGAGGACTTACATGCTGCGTTGAAAGTTGAGAGCCCGGGAACTTTTGTCCTCTACTTCTCGGAAGCTATTTATGGCGGGATTACTGTTGCTTGGTTTAACAATAGAGGTAACCTCAATGCAATTACTTCGTGGTTAGTGCTCCGAACGAATCTGAGAATTAGACTCGTTGGGTTTTACGATATGAAAATCTCCAATCACCAGAGATGTGTATAATCCGACATTTTGGGTTTCTGAATCCTGATTCGAACGAATCCGAGTCCGGCTGGATTCAGATCCGTTCGTACATATTTAGTTGTGGTAAAGAGTATATGGCTCCAAAACTAGGCAATTTCATATCGAGCAAAATTTTTATTCGACTCGTTACAATTCTTAATTTCGATGTTAACGTATGTTTCTCCGACCAGGTGAATAATACATCGATTTTCATAATACTTTGCAGTCAATGAAATCAACAAGTTCGTCCCGTACATGAAGACTGATTTAGATGATAATCCAATCGAAGAAAGACTACTGTCAGCCCCACATTTGCACTTTTTATATCCCAAGATTCCAAAGGAACAGGTTTTCCTTGTTGACAAAAAGGCGCCAGGTAAGTAATTTTAGCAACCCTGTTTAAATTTATGTTTGTAATCTGCTAAAAATACATATTTCAGGTCTGTACGGCTACATTCTCAATCTGGTGGGGTACATTAGGGAGGGGAACTGGTAGACATTACCTCATAGGAAATTATGGAGAGCTATTGTTTAATTCAATTTAATTCACCAGATTCCCAGTTCAGTACTGATTTGCACAAGTAGTGTTAAATATGTAAATATGTACATAAATGCATATCATGCACGATTTTTGAAATGAGCATATTTATGTATTCTTGTGTGAAACAAGAATTCTCAAATTGTTGCGAAAAAAACAACCTATTTATGCACATATACAGGAATATACTCGTAGTTTAGTACATTTGGATAAGTTTAGTGTGACAAAATTGTGTACCAAATACTGTGTATAAACCTACTTTTATTTCCATTTGGTGTTGGGTTTCGAAAAATCGAGCATAGTCTAAAATTTGACAAATGAAATACTAATGAAACATTCTGTCGCCATTCCTCGAAGAAATTTAGTGAAAACAGGCAAGCATACAGTGGGCTCTTGTAATTTTGGGGGAATTTATTTGAGTGCATATATTACTCCTTGTGTATGTTTGCAATGAAAAATTCTGTAGTTGAGATATGTATACTTATTTAGAAAAGAACATTGAAATCTTTACAGGTTAATAAATTTTATACTTTATAAATGGACAAGAAATTAGAGATGGACAAATATTTATGTAAATTATTAAGCTAAACTGACAATAAGTGTCCAGAAAATCATAATGACGGCCAGTCCGGCCACATTGACCTGTCTGCTGAGAGAGCCTTGGGACTGTCCCAATGGCTTCTCGCCTCTAGTGTAGAATTCGACCACGTCGTGATACCGCTTCCGCTGATTAACGTCTCTCAAACTGTTAAATCCGTTGTCGTCAAAAATATCGCGCAAAAGTGCGACAGACTCTTTTGGCTTTCTTTCTCGGTCAGGATCGTCGAATTCGACGCGGTGTGCGCCAAATCGTTGCCTATAAGAAATTGTTGCATATCAGCTATCAGCGTTAATAGATATGTATATATATGTACATTTGTTAAAAAATGTAGCGACCCTAAAATCTATTCTCAAATCCGTCCCAAAGTTTACTGAGACACTAAACCCTGTCACTCTAAAAATTTAGGGAACTGTGATGAAAAACTTGTTAGAAAAGACCTCAATTAGTGCGCGTAGCGTATTTACATAGTTAAGAAAACTACAATTATTGTGGTATGAATTTTGGCTAATGGTAAGTATGCATAGAAAGTAGCGCGTTTGCCCAGAACGTCTGCCCCAAGGTATAGCATGAGATTAGTAACCCATCTAGACAACTTAAGCCCGTCTAGGGTAATAGAAAATGCAGCGCCAATTTCAAATGGTAATATATACACGCCATTACTAATGTGTGTTTAAAGTTTTTAAAAGCTTCTTACGTGTATCCCCTCTTCCACTCGAAATTATCCATCAAACTCCACGCCGTGTAGGACGTGATGTTCACGCCATCTTGTACAATCGCTTTTAACATGTTATTAATATACATCGTGTAATAGTATGACCTTGCTAAATCGAATAGCGGCGAAGGACCGAAGGCTCCCGCGGTTGCGTCGTCTTCACTTGTCCCGTTTTCCGTCACGATAATTTCCGGACTTCCGTACGTATCCTTCAACCATTTTAGAACCTTGCGAAACCCGACGGGGTTCACTTTCAGCCAAGGCGAGGCAGAACAAGACCACGTGGGGCTTTGGAACTTGAAGAGATCCTGGTCCCCATCCCAGCCTGGCGTGTACCCAGCGGCGCCAGGGTTTGTATGTCTAACCAGGGCACTCGTGTAATGGTTTAATCCCAGGAAGTCGACTGTTCCTGTAATGATGGCACGCCATTCTGCATCAAATTCTGGAAGTCGGGATACATCGCGTCCTTCAGAGATGCTTTTGGCGTCAACGAATTCGCGCATGACGTCCGGGTATTTGCCGAAATAGAGGGGAGAGGCGAACCAACCGTGCTAGAAAATAGGTGAAAAATTCAAGTCTATTCGTCATGCTAATAATTGTTGTTACCAGAGTGGCAATAAATTTCGAGTAACTGGTGAGACATAAATTTACTACAAATTTCTAAAAAAAAAAATAGAATCTCCCTTACATGGAACTGCAACGCTCTTTCCGCCGCGGCTGTGTCGTTGAGGTTATCAGAGGCTGGCTCATACCAATAGGTGTCCAGTGTTATGCCGACGTAGCCCCGTTGCTGTGTTTTAAAGTCGGATTCGTAGAGACGATACGTCTTTCCGTGAGCTTTTAAAATATTATGGACGCACTGGTAAGGCAACTCCGCTAAAAGAGGGATGGAATCATGGTACACATTGTGAAATTTTTAGGATAAAGCTTCAAATATTTGTGCTACGCTACCTGGATCAACGATTCCTGGAGCTTTCGAACCAACTCCGTACCCTTGCCAACAGACGACCCAGGGTTCGTTAAATGTTATCCTAAAAGATGATAACCATATTATAACCGGTGAACGGGTAGTTGTCATCAGTTCTTATGCAGTAAATTGTTACCAGAGCTGATAACGTTTTACTACCAGTGAAATTGGGCTAAGCAGGATTTAGCCAAGCTATCGAGGTGGTACTTATTGCACGTTTAGAACCACTAGGGGCTAAATCCTGCCCACCTAAATTCATGACTGTCAGGTCTGGTGAGGGATAGTCCCGATTATTATTATCATGATAATTTGATATCTACTCTTTACTTTTTAAATCTGCCGCGTAACAAACTTACCGCTAATAAAAGATAATATTTACATTCTAATTTTTAATTCGAGATGAATGATTTAAAAAAAATTACCAATGCTTCACTCTGTCCCCAAACAAGGTAAACGCCAATCTAGAGAAGGAAACGAAATGATCGACAATCACTTCATTCGTGAATCCACCAAGATCTTCAAGCGATTGGGGCGTGTCCCAGTGGAAAATGGTGATCATCGGTTCAATTTCTGCCTCAATTAAGGCATCAATCAAATCGTTGTAATATTTTACGCCGAGCGGGTTGATGTCCGCGTCGCTGGTATACGTTCCATTGGGAAGTATGCGCGTCCAGGAGATCGAGAAGCGGTACAATTTGGCCTAAAATATAATTGGTGATTTTATCGATAGAAGAAATTTTCGGAAGATTTCGGAGGATTTTTTAAGGAATTCTAAATAAATTTATAGTTTGCGCGCTTAAAATTCTACTAATGGACGATGCCGGCGTCGACCTCTGATTCGATCACCCTTAAATTTAAATCTCCCACAGATTTTGCGGCTCATCGTGACGACAAAGTCCCAATTTCTGAAGCACTGACTTACAAGGGATATGGATATATTAAAGTACATACATGAGCTTCCTTAAGAATTCGGACATCCTCTCTCCACTTGTGATACGAATCGCAGGCTAAATCACCATTACTGCCGTCATCGATAGGACTTGGGTTCAAATGCGTCCACGTGTCCCAAATATTGACTCCTTTGCCTATTTAGAAATGTTGTATACATGCATAATTCCTGTGACAAATTAAATTTAACATTCTCCAATTCTATGTACTCACCATCCTCGTTCCAACCTCCCTCGATCTGGTAGGATGCCGTTGCATAGCCAAATTTAAAGTTTGGGGGGAACGAATCGTACAAAAAGTAGTCTTCTTCTACATATTGGGCAAATGCTGTAGCCACCAAGCAAAATCCTAGGAGGATATGGAGCCTCATATTTGTCACGGTATGAGACGAATGGTCGAGTGACATACATAAAGTGATCGCTATTTAGGAACAAGGTCTGTAAGTCATACAGAAGTCGAAATGGAATGCTGGGGTGGTGTGCAAATTGCAATGATACGTGTCCAGTAAATTTGCAGATTGTGTTGTTTTCAATCATCAATTAATTATTAGATAAGGTGACAGGGTTTATCAAAAGGTATTTGGATGCAGTATTGTTTAACATACGTATCGACCATACGCAAGATCACGCAGGTATCACGCGAGAAAAGTAAAATGGACATGTACATATGTACTGGTATATGTGTGCACTATATATTTATTATTATATCTATGTACATGCACCCATGTAGTTTGTGGAAATAAACATTTATTTAGCAACCAATCCTTAGCAAATTAACTTATAGTCGTTGTCGTTCTACACGTGTGCAAAGGGTGCATGCACTTAATAATAATAATTGATTTATTGCATCCTTACAGCCTTTTTTGTATATCATCAATGGTTACATTGTATTGATAATCGCAAAAGACAAACATGCATACATATGCAGTTACATACATAAATATTAGGATACATGTAAATGTCTTGTTCCCGAAAACAAATCACCTGCCCAAAGTTTAATTAAAGTTGATTCCGCCTGTGGGCGGAGAAGATGATGTCGCCGTGGGCTCGGTAGGGGAATATGGGCGAGTCTCATCGAGTACCGGACGTCAGGGTCCTTGGGGGACGGATGCGACACGCTTCTGATCACGGGACACCTTCACTGGCCACAGGGGGTAGCCGGATGGGAGCTACGACGCACGGGGAGGAGGATGAATTGTCTCTCGCTTGGCAATTAGAAATACTGTCTTGTTTTTACTCCGATTACCACTTATGCACCGTTTCTATACTAAACTGCACCTGGCACGATTCAATGTACGAGTTTTTATGAAAAATGACCCGAATAACCTGTCCAATAACGGTATACTTCGTAATTTTCACTTGACAAGAGTTTCAGAATCTTTACTACTCACATTAGCAATTATTACTCTTACAAAAATGAATTTTAGGAACTTAATTTAGGTAGTAGAATTTATTTTAAAGATGGCAGCCACGCAGACGGCGTGGTGCAGGGAAAAATGTGGAGAGAAGAGTGGAGGTGTTCACGCTGGGAACACTCGGGCCGGTCTGTGTGGACTGGAGTGAGGTTCTTCCTTTTTACAGTCGAACTCGGCCACGGTGGCTTCCGTGTGCCGAGTAGTAGGATCGTCGGGTGGGGGATATCCAATCCCCACACGCCCAATCCTACATTACATAAACACGTATACAATAACTTCGTCTCAATTTTGCAACCGGGTCAATTAGTCACCCTCTATCCAAACCGATTGCTTTGACCTTAACTTTTCGTACCTAACAACGACCTAGAAATCCCAGTGAGCATCGTCTTAATGAAATTCACCACCGACAGTTTCCTCACCTCCATCTTAAAATACCCCTCACATCCCACAAAAAGCGGTCGACACGATTTTCTAAACCGTTTAAACCACCTCTTCTCATAAGCCGTCTCCCATCTGCAATGTCGCCACGACGCCAAACACGCCACGCTCCCGCGATGCGATCCAGCCGCCGCGATGAGGTACAAACTCCACCCGACAGCAACGAAAGGTATTCCCAACCCCAGGAAAGCTATGCTGTCAAACTCCAACTCGCCAAAATTTAAGCCACCCGCCATTGTCTTGCGCATCTTGGAAATGAGTATGGTGCTCACCACTGTGAATTTCCCTATGACGAATTGCAACGGAAGAATGTACGGGCCATGAATTTCGCTCACGTGCCTTAAAACTATTTGCATACTTCTGTAGACGAGGGGCAAGTTCGTAATTTTTCGCACTTCGGGCATCACTCTGTTCGCAGATTCCCCTAATCGCGAGAATTTTAGGGCAGAGAAGATCCTACCAACGAGCAGCATTTCTGCGCACCCATGCAAAACTAAGACTTGAACGAATGATATGACATAAGCGCCAAAATACAGGGCGCCAATTGTATAAGGTATTATCATCAGTTTGAATATGGCGCCATCTTCGGGGAAAAGAGAGGTGAAGTGCATGGGATTAGTGGGGGCGTACATGATGTGCATGCAGAGTGCGGGCGGGACCGTAAACATGGTCAAATATGTGGTCCAATAGAACAAGGTCCACACGGCGTTGAATTGTCTCTCGAGTTTGACGACCTCTCGCGGTAGGATCCATCGTTCCTGGAAAGCTTCAAAGTAACGGGTCAACACGTTGTAGTAATTGGCCGTTGAGGAGGGGCGAATTGCGATGATGGATGAATTTATGAGGATACAAGAAGTCCCGTAAAGCAGCGGGATCATGAAGTTTACGGTGGCCGCATCCCCGGCAAGTTTGAATCGGACGGCTTGACCGAAAAGGAAGATGAGTTCGAACGTTAGGCAGAAGTGGAGGGTGGCCGTGTTGGCGTAGAAATAGTGGGAAACGGAGATCGTTTTTGTGGATGAGGACCAAACGTAGGGCAGGCCGAGGTAGCGGGAGAGTTTGACGGCTTGGGCGAATTTTTGGTAAAAGAAGGGTGTCAGCATTGCGTTAGATGGGAAATGTTTGGCAGAATTATTTGAATGTTTTGTAAGATTTTGGGAGCAGGTTTTACTGAACGGTTCGAGAGCAAGGGTGAAATCTGTGTGTTGAATTTCGTTGCTTTGGTCAATGATTTGGACGAAATGACTCCCTTTGTCGGGTATAATTGGGGTAATTATTCTACTCTGTCCAGGATTAAAAGAGCTGAAAAGACTAATTTGCCCAGACAGTTGTTTGTGAATTTCCTTGCCCTTGGTCGAACCAATTGTCAATAATTTGCTGTTACATACGTAATAACTGGGACTAAATGACGCAAATTCTGCCTTTTTAATTTTCAAGATTGGCACTCAATTGGCTTTTAATTGAACATTGTGATGATCTATTTTAGCCACAAATTTCTTAATTTGAATAATTATTGTTACCATGTTCATAGTGAAACCAAATGTTTTTCAGATAATGACGTATTTCACGTCGCAATTTCGTAACCAAAAATTAGAAATGTTCGTAAGTTTCGTAGTTACTAAGGCTGACGTGAATTGCCTCAATGAAAGTATGAGAAATACTTACAAGGGACACTCACGACCTGTCGTTTGAGTCCAGGGTACCCACTAAGTTTTTTAGAATCTACTAGGACCCGAGATGAAGGATTCATTCATATTTCCGTGTTAAACTCATATTTGGCGTCGTGCCGTGGCGCCAAACTTAAAATTTTGCATTTTCGACCAACTTCAAACCCCCATAACTTTTGCAGTTTATGTCGGATTTCCAAAATTTTATGCTTAAAATGATCACAAAAGTCAAATTTTTTGACAAAAGAATAAAAATCGAAAATTGCTAATTTTTGAAATATTTTTCGCATTTTTTCGACGAACCCCCATTTCTAAGAAAATTACGAAATTTTGCGAAAAGTTAAAAGCGATAATTTTGGAAAAGATTTCATTGGATACGAAAGTTGAACTCCTTGTCATGATCTTTGCCAAAAATTTTGAAAATCCGTCCAGGATTGCAAAAGTTATGGCGGTTTCAAAAATAAAAACACTCAATTTGACGAATTTGGCGCCACGCCATGGCGCCAAATATGAGTTTTACACGGAAATATGAATGAATCCTTCATCTGGGGTGCTAGTAGATTCTAAAAAACATAGTGGGTACCCTGGACTCAAACGACAGGTCGTGAGTGTCCCTTGTTAGATGCGTATTTACATAACTATGAAATCATAAGTTACTTACATAGATTACAATCATCCAGCAGCTAACAACGATTTAAAAATCCCTCTTACAACCCCCTTAATAAATCCAACAACCGATCTTTTCGTCACCTTACTCTTATAATATCCCTGATTCTCGAAACAAACCGGTTTACACGACTTTTTAAACCTGCTAAAATATCTCCGCTGAAACCTGCACGGCCAGTCACACTTTTTCCATGACGAAATACATTTCCTGCTTCTCCCATGCGACAACGCGGCACAAGCCAAATAATAACTCCATCCTAACACGGCGAATGGAATTGCCGCCGAAAAGAAGACCAAACTTGCATAGTCCACCTTAACCCCGTCTACCTTGTGCAGCATCCGCCCAACCAGTAGGGCCGCCACCATGACGAATTTACCCACGATGGCCTGCAACGGCATGATGTACGGGCCATGAATTTCTCCAACGAGCTTGAACAAGACCTGCATTCCTCTGTAAACAACTGGAAGGTTTTTAAGTTTTCTCACTTCGGGAAAAAGTCTCAGGTCATTTCCCGCCTTCAAGAATCGGAGGCGATCCAAGATCTCGGTAAGAAGGATCATTTCCGCCGTTCCGTGAAGCATCAGGATTTGAATGAGGCACCCACAATGGGCAAAGATGTAGATTAAGGATATCGTGTAAGGGATAACCATTAACAAAAAGGCGAACGATCGCGTGGGAAAAATAGAGATCAAGTGGACCGGGCTCTTTGGCTGGCTGATTGTATAAACAGCTAGAAACACAGGGAAAAAGTACAACACGACGAGAGAAAGTCGGTAAAACCAGATCCAAATGGTGTCGAATTTACGGTGAATTTTTTCCCGCTCATTGCTATCGAGGACGAAACGTTTCTCGAATGTTTCAAGGTATAAGGAAGTCGTGTTGTAGTACGCGGCAGTAGTGACGGGGCGAAGTGCGAACATGGAGGTCATTACTACCAGACATAGCGTCGCGTAGAGCATGGGAATGATTTGGTTTAAGGTGTGGATATCTTCGGTTAGTTTGAATCGGATGGCTTGTCCGAGGTTGAAGACGAGTCCGCCCGTGAGGCTGATGTGAAGGGTGGCAGTGTTGGCGTAAAGACAGGGCGAGACGTGGATAGTTTTAGTCGCATGATTCCAGGTGTATGGAAGACCAAGGTATTTCGAGAACTGGATTGAGTCCCCGAATTTTGTGTGGAATAATGGTGTCAACATTATTGTGGGGAAAGTTATGAAATTTTCTTATGTAGAATTTCTAAATAAGTATATATACCTATGTGAAGATACTTATTTGTAATGTGTGGCTTCCTTTGGTTGACTAGTTAATATTTTTAAGTGGTGAAATTATGTAGAGCATGGTATAAAATTTAGTTACCAGTTATTATGTAGGTTTTAAAATTCCTTAAATTCAGGTTAGTCTGGGTGGTTATTATGAAGTTAATTAGGTTGGAAATAGGTAGACAGGTAGGTAGAAATAAATAGGTAGAAATGGGAGACCTATTTATGTTTATAATAAATACATTTTTATACATATGTATGCATGTATGCAGTTTGCAGTTTTTGCATTTTTTGCAAATCGATAACTAATTTTCTCAGGGCATGACCAATCAAAACTCTTGTTTATCAAAATTTAATAATTATTGATCGCCACTTCGTCAGTAATATGTGCTGGATTTCAAATGATACAATGCCAAGTTGGCATTGCCAACCTGCTTGAATCTGTCCAAATGGCTGTGTTCATCACAGACATGTACGTGCATAAAGTCCACTTTATATTCAGTGAATTTATTTTTGCATATGTACATTTTGGCAGGTAAATAAATAAGTAAAAACTCGAAAAAATGTAGTACATATTATTTTTTCCATTTCTCTTTATGAGAAGGCTACTCACTTTAACAAAAGCTAATTAGACTAAATTCTTAATTCTTAATAGTTATGTAATCTACAGATGTACTCCTGTATGCAAAATGTATTGTTTAAGAAGGACGTGTCGTAAATTGGGCCAGGTTCAATTGCTAAAGCTTTTATAGATATTTATTTTTACAAGTAGAAAGTTCTACGCTACAAGACATAATACGTCACAAATCTTTTACAGATCACTGGAAGTAGCGCACTTAAATATTGTACTACAATAAAATGCATACATCTCCATTCTTCAAGAAATATTGGCAAACTATCCACGTCCCGGCCTATTTTGGTTTACCAGCTTGCCAACACGACAACAATCCACCTCTTGTTACTCTTCCAGTCAATAAATGAATACATATGTCAGTACGTGTATTGTATGTATGTACTCATTACCTACATAATGTATAATGCGGTAAATATGTGTGACACATGGTGAATACTCTTTACAGCGTAATAAATATTCCACAATTTTCCCATTTACTATAACAGGAGAATAATTTATTCGCATAATATGTCGGTTTGCATAGATGTAATTTGACCGTAGAACAACTTCTTCCTAAATATGTCTCATGGATATTAATATGCATTTCATATACTACACAACTCCAGCAAGGAAGTTATTCCAATATCGCCACCACAAGACTGGTTTTTTCTCATGGTTCATCTAGCAAAAACAAGTTTATCACAAAGAAATGCTAAAGCTACGTAACATTTCTTACTTGCATACACTGGAAATATGCACGTATGACTGTATAATACATAGATATTACTTCCAACCAAGGAACATGGAGTAGTCCAGCTGGAAATTTGCTCAGATATAGGTGCATATTTAATAATATTTAAAAATCAACAATCATAAATAAAAGTGAGGAGCGATCACAACTTGAAAATGATGAACGTTGCATCCTTGTCGAACGAGGGGATGGAGAAAGTGCAAGGAGTGTTGAAAAAGGCATCAATCATTGAAACGGTTAGATACACATATACATTCATTCTTCATTAGGGACATAACTATTGATACATATTACATACACATAAATACATATTTACATAACTATAAAACTAACTAGGTATACAATTTAGGTGGGTGGAGAGTTCAGATGTGCTACTATATGCAAATATTGCACACTATATCGGTATGAAACAATATGCAAAAATTTCCGTGTTAAAATCATTTTTGAAAAAGTAATGACGATTTAAGTGACGCAAGTCTAGGAAATTTCTCAATGCTTTAACAAAGGTGAAATTTTTGCTTTGACCTTTACGGATTACACTCTCTCTCTCCACCTTTTCAAAATTTTGTAGTTTTTCATCCGGAAACATATTTAAGCAAAAAATCCAAATCATGCTATATAGATGCTCAAAACTACTTAATCAGGAGAATAAAATATGTACCTAGATTTGCAAAAAAAATGTAACAAAAAAATGGCAACATTTTGGCCCATTCTCTATTTTGGACACTTTTTGTGCATTTTGGACATTTTGGGTGGCTATTTTGGACAATGATTAGAACCGTAGCGAAACAATGTCTCCGCCAAAGGTGGAGAGAGAGAGTGTAATCCGTAAAGGTCAAAAGCAAAAATTTCACCTTTGTTAAAGCATTGAGAAATTTCCTAGACTTGCGTCACTTAAATCGTCATTACTTTTTCAAAAATGATTTTAACACGGAAATTTTTGCATATTGTTTCATACCGATATAGTGTGCAATATTTGCATATAATGGCACATCTGAACTCTCCACCCACCTAAATAGTATACCTAGTAAGTATGGCTAGAAATACATATGTAATATATATATGCTATAAATATGCTGGGTGGTTTTAGTAACAAATTTTGCATAATTTTACCAAATCTTTAAAATGTTAAGCTGCTATTTTAGAGACCATGTAATCTTATCCCAGGTTTTGTGCAAATATGTACATGTACTTATGTATGTATGTATATGCATTTACATACACGAAATAACTCATAAAAATGTGTAGCAAATGACAACACTAAATATTTAATTATTCCACTGATAAAATTATTTGAAAAATTACATATGCATATTACAGGTATTTTGGATCATCCTTGGACTTTTGGTTGGCACGCTGTTCCTATTGTTCCAGACCAGCACCAGTGTCAACGTTTGTATCGTCATTGCAATTACAATTGTACTCGGACTAATTTCCGGGATCACTTTGTTCCTAGCAGTGGAAAAGGTTTGCATACATATCTTGTCCTAATTAATTTTTGCATGTTTTCATAACAAATTTATATTCATTGTTTCTTTTTTAGGATGCAAATGTCCTCTTCAAAGTGTGGTTTGTGGCGTCAGTATTACTTATAATTTGTTTCGTGGCATGCATCATATTGGTTGCGATTACATTAGACGATTTTGAAGGGTGGATAGAAATTATAATTTGCATTGTGCTCATACCCATCAAATTGTATTGTGTCATGCTTGTGTGGAAATATTATAAATGGAATAACAGAGCAAGAGGCTTGGGAGCCGTGGCGGCGGCGGTGGGGTTGGCGTGATTTGGATAAATATTCTGTAATTTGTATAACATATATTTGCTCATGAATAAATTTACACTTTAATTATTATTATTATTATTATTGAATTATCTATATATATGTAGATACTTGTATTACTCAGTTTATGTACGAAAATATGATACTAATACGACACGATACGATAATATAATACACATACATTTTCAAACGACAATTTAATAATATTTTATGCTTATCCTCCTTCTATCCCAAAGCAATTCGTATCAAATGGACGGTACTGACAAGGGTTTATGACAGGCCTGCCTTCTCCAGGATTCGGACTCGGCCAGACACCTCTATTACCAGGACCACCTAACCCCAAAGCTTGTAAAATAGGACCCAAGCCGGAAATGGCTGGCCCTATGGCGGAAAACGGGGACTGAGAAGTTGGAATTGTTGACCCTGCTCCAGCCCAGGCTGCCGACCCACCAGGGCTCGATCCCCACCCCGAGGAACCGCCCCCAACTGACCCCCATCCTGCAAAGCCTGAACCGAAGGGTGTAGATCCACCCCCAGTTGACCCCCATCCAAATGGTACAGCGGGAACACCTCCAGTTGGCTTCCATCCAGACCCCCAGCCAGGCTTACTTGACCCCCATCCTGGCTTGCTCGAACCCCAGCCTTTCGTCCCAGGGGGGTAGCTACAAAAATTTATTTTATTTTAACAGATTGAAAATAGGGATCCCAATCCCGGACGATTTTTTAAATCCCGGGAATCGGGAATCCCGGTTTTAGCCGTGAAAAATCCCGGGAATTTTTCCCGAAATTTAAATATAACCTTATAACTTGAAATTAGTCAAATTCGGGTATACAAAAAGGTACATGGCTCTAAAAAGTACCGAGACTGGGCATATTTATAATACCTACTTCTGTGTTTTTGGGATCTGTGCCTGCATAAGTACTAGTATACATACAGTACGCTATTTTCTGGCCTACACAAAATAGTATTTTAAAAATACATACATATGTACGATAGAAATACAAATTAGTGATTATATTGTTTTGCCTGCTATGGCAAATTTAAAGATTCGATGTATTGTGGAAGCCCAATTTCCGTTCACTATTTTGGAGAGCTGTGAGGAAAGAGTTCGATAATTTCATTCCAGAAAACTTAACTAATTAATCAAGGATTTGCCAGCATGTTAACCCGAAATGCATAAATTCACGTTTATCAAATATCAATATTAATTGGCCTAAATTGCATTAAAATTAATATTCAAAAACTTCAATTTGGACAAGGAAGTTGGCAATTCAAAAATTTCAAATTTAAATAAGTATATGTACCACGTTCAAAATGCCCTTCATGCAGCCTTATATTACTTCTAACATGATAGCATTTTTGATCATAACTGATTTCAGATTCTATAATTATACCGAAAATAAGGTTTATTTGTTCCTTCAAGTTATAATCTGACATCGAGATTAGAAAATTTATGGTTTCATCTTGTATTACAAATGTTACTTGCAGATTTTGAAATTTAGATAAATGTACGAGTTAGATGTGGCCACTAATATTGCTTAAAATTTAAATTTTCGAGTTCAGGATCAATCTTGCCTGGTTGTGCTCATCGAAACTTTTTCTTACTAATCATATAACCTAAAATTATGTAAAACCGCTATTAAAATAATGAATTATAAGTAATTTTCAATTCTGAATGACAAATTGAAAAATCCCGAAATCCCGGGATTTCAGTTCTTCAAATCCCGGGATTTCGGGATCCCGTTTTCCGGGAATTCCCGGGAATAAAATCCCGAAAAATCCCGGGACTGGAACCCCTAATTGAAAATCTAGATAAACTATCTTATGTGCATATGCATACCATCCTCCGTAAATCATTAGTGGGTACGATTGCCTTGATTTTCGTCGGGTTCCAGCCGCCGGTAATGCTGGTTTAGTTCCGGGCTCCTTTAAAACCTGCAGACTTTTCCCCAATTTGGTCGTGATGGATTCTGAACCCACATTCTGCACAGTTTCCAAGTTTGCATCTTTTACCGGGGTGGACGAAATTGTTGGTACTAAGAGGACAATGTTCACAACCTGTTGGAATTATGGGAGAAACAATGTCAACAAAAAATAATTTAACACAATTTTCGGAAAATAATAGGCATGTTCACACCAACGGATTATTTCTCATTTGAATTAGCATCAAATGGTTTGCGATAACAATCAAATATGCTGGCTAAATTTACAAAAAAATTCTCAGCAAAAGATTCTGAAAATCTGTCAAAGTTTGTAACTTATGAATGATAATATACTTTTTTCAATTATAAGGCTCGACAACCATGCGAAGCAGAGATCGACGCCGCCGGACCAGGTAGCACTTTACACGTTATCGCCAACGATAAATCTGATTTCAAATTCGTAAAAATTTCGCTGCTGACGCCGCCAAAAAAATTAACCAAAAATTGGCACCGCCGCCGTCGCAAAATTAGTTGGCGTCGCCTCCGATGGGAACTTGACGTGAATATGTATGTATGTCTGGCAAGTTGCTCTGATATTCTTCGCGAACACGCAATTTGTACGAAACTATTTTGTGAAGCATTTTCTGGAAAAATGCTTCCAATTCGTGGTGATCAAAAAATGTGCGGAAGGGTATAAGTAAATTTACTTAACAACAGTTAACTGTTCAATCTTTACAGCTTTACATTGCAAATTAGCGGAACCCGTGAAACATGTAGGTGTTCAAAATTATGATTTCCTCCGTAAAATCCATTTCACTCTTTGCTTTACTTACCAAGGCCAATTTGCATAACCGTAGTTTTCGAAATGCTCCCATTTAAAAATCTGATACGACAAGTCAGACAGACCGGTAGTCTTGCTGGCAGAGAAGACACTGACCATGTTCAGTATTTAAAACTAGAATGAACAAAAGTAATGGGATTGGCATTAACATGCAGGTACATATTTAAATGACTGTTTACTTGCATGTTGTGAAAAATTAGTGCATGGAATAAATAAATGAATCGAGTCAATCCACGCAAGTTTGGTGACTTCACAAAGCAAATCAAGTTATGAGGAGGTCAGGAAAAGCAGTTTCTTCTCCCAATATTAACTGCCTGATATAAAAATAAACACGCTTTTTTAATTATGCTTTGATTTCGGGTCTTTTCTTTTTTTAATAATGACCCGATTGTTGCTTTTCTCTATATACCAGTAAGTTACCATTAACATTAACATCAACATCTGACTCTTACCATTGGTCAGCGTCACAAAGATTGATTTGTATTCAATTTAGCACATATGTACATACACATGTATGTACATATAAGAGGGTAGAATTTATGTATGCCATGTTTTTAAACAGTTATGGAACATTTTAACTTTTAGCACTGCAAAAAAAACTTCGCGAAAATTTATGTAGGTTTTAAAATGATTTATTTACGTCTAATTATTAATTACTATTAATTTTAGGTCACGATTAAACTCACACATTTCCATAGTTAAAATGATTTAGCAACATGCACAATTTCACATCCAAAACAGTTCAGCACTTCAAATCAATTAAACAAATGTTGCGAAATTTATTTATGTACATTACACTTTATTTCATAATAGGAAATTCCTAGTGGGATGAAAATCATACCTAATCATGTCGAATGCTTTAATATCCACGGCTTTTTCCCGACCCCCAGTAGTCGTTTCGATTCATTGAGCTTCCACAAGGCCCGTCTCCCACGATACGGACACCTGCAAGATTAACAGTGCAATGCAAACATATATTAACTTTATTTATGTATTTTTTTTAAATATAGATATTTGCATACGCGAAACACGAGTTTTTGCACAATCGAATTTGCAACGATTTTGATACGTGATTCCATTCGAGGCACACACCGACGCCGTTTCATCGCCGCATGCACAAGTCCTCGATTTTGAACTTTTCGCTGGAGATGGAGTCGTTACAAGGGTCGGAACAGTTCTATAGATCGATGGTGTTGGTGTCGGTAAGATGTGTGTCGTATACCTGATCGTGGTTGTTGGATCCACATTATCACGGGATTTCTGAATTATAATTTGAATTTGGAGTACATTTATGACATTTACATAAGTTCTGCAGAGAAAATACTACTTTTAAAGATAATTCAGCACATACCAAAAATATATTCTTCAAGTTAGCCCAGGTTAGTTCGAAACCATGCGACGTAGGGACATGGGGTTCGAGTGCAATAACGGCCAGTGAGAAATACAGAATTCGTGAAAATATTATCTTTCTCATTTTAATGGAGGTAAGTGAATTTTAAGCAATACAACTATCTTGCAAACATTTTGCGTAGTGAAGTGACAAATTTCTGCAACATATGTATATATGTATGTATTAATTTAAATACGGGTTACATGCATACATACAGAATTGGGCAGTTTGACCCATAAGTAAGCATACATATATGTTAGGTATGGTTGATAATCGTACTCATTCCAAGACGTCAAGAATATATATGTAGACCTGCATAACGCTAAAAGTTCTGCATTCGCCTTTACATATGTGTGTACTTGCAATCACGAATACTGTAATAAATAAGTATGTACATATGTACACTCCTAAAAATGAAGCTACAGTTTTGAAAAGTAAATACACTCTCGACTCAATATTAAGTAAATTATACTAAATCCAGAGTAAAGTTAACTTGTTAAAGAATAAAGTTTATTCTGGAATTGGTATAGCTGATCAGTAATACTGATTCAGTATATTGATTCAGTATATTGAATCGAGAGTGCATTTATTTTTCAAAAGGGTAGCGTTATTTTTTAGAGTGTAAGATCTATTTCAGGGCTACGCAGATTGACTGATTTATGCATGTTATTGATATGTCTTGTTTTTTGCAGTGAGAAGAATTTGGAATTTTTCCCCAATGACGTTAGTGCAAAAATTCAATTTCAAAATGAATTGAAATCGGGAATTGGTCATCCGGATTCGGATTGCAGAATCTTTACGGATGAGGAATTATTAATTGATTTCAAAATAGACATGTAAATGCTATTCTGATTACAAAAACTCCGTGATAAGCAAACAGATAACATAACTCGAATAAACAAAACTATTTGTGCTCTTTCCGCTTATGTATGTATGCATGTACATACCTATATGTATAGTAGAGCTGGCTGCCTGTCTGTATGACCTTATGCTCATACATAAATATTAAATACGTAGGTAAGTATCTATATTTATATAATTATAATACTTAATTATTTATATATGTGCGTACTGTACGATGCACGTGAACTTCTGAGACCTGACCTGAGCACACAATACAAACTAGTAAAAAGACCTATGTAAATAAGTTCAATAATAAAATAATGGAGAGTTAATTATGTATGCAAAATCGTACTGTAAGTTTAAGTGATAATATTTTTGCCAAAAATACTAGAAATCCAACTAGAATAAAAAACGATGTATGTACATATACAAATTTTTACAAAATGCAACTTGCAATACAAGTTTTGCATGATGCAAGCGAAGCCTATTAAATCCCTATGTCCTTTTATTCATTCTAGTTTTAAATAGTGAACTTGATCAGTGTCTCCTCTGCCGGCAAGCCTACCGGTCTGTCTCACCTGTCGTATCAGATTTTCAAATGGGAGCATTTCGAAAACTACGGTTATGTAAATTGATCTTGGTAAGTTGAGCAAAAGTGATACATATATTTAAATTAATAGGTTACGGGGGAGGCGTCATTTTCACACCCAGCCTGTGCCCCGGTTGCGCCCATTTGTAACAGAGCTGTTATGACAACAGTTTACGAGTACCCCTCAAGGAATTGAAGGCATTTTTCCGAAGAAAAAAAAATTCTTCCAAGATTACTTTCATACGCAAAGTGCTCGGAAATTATATACTAGAGCAACGTGTCTGGCGTGCTCACGTCAATCTTTCCATAATTCTCGGACAGGGTAAGGAAAACCACTGGGTTTTGCTATTGGAAACCCATACCCCGGGGTTTTACCTGGGTTTTGCGGGTAGTCCGGGTAGTCGGTTTTTGGAGGTAAACTGAGTCAGTACCTGATGTATTACGTTTTGAAAAATCTACTTTTTCAACAATTTGATCACAAATCAGTTTATTAATTCAATTTTAGTATTTAATTAAGTAATCAAATTCTCAGTAACGTGCTTTTATTATGTATTATGCACTTTTTTTTAATTTGAAAACCCCGAGTAGCCCGAGTAGCCCGAGTAGCCGTGGGTATTTCTCAAATTTGCTACCCCAACACCCCAAAAACCCGGGGTAGCATACCCTGTTCTCGGACCTTGCAATTTGAACAAGTGTATCAATATAAATAACGAAATTTGAGAGATTTTTTTAAAATTGTGATTTGTCGATTCTTTGACAGCATTTTCTCCCATAATTCCAACAGGTTGTGAACATTGTCCTCTTAATACCAACAATTTCGTCCACCCCGGTAAAAGATGCAAACCTAGAAACTGCACAGAATGTTAGTTCAGAATCCATTACGCCCAAATTGGGGAAAAGTTTACAGGAAGAAAAGGAGCCTGGAACCAAACCAAAATTACCGGTGACTGGAACCCGACGAAAATCAAGGCAATCATACCCACTAATGATTTATGGAGGATGATATGTATGCAAATTAGAAATTTTATCTAGTTTCAGTCTGTTAAAATGTGATAAATTATATAGCTACCCTCCTGGGACGAAAGGCTGGGGTTCGGGTAAACTTGGATGGGGATCGAGCAAGCCTGGATGGGGGTCAAGTAAGCCTGGCTGGGGGTCTGGATGGAAGGCAACTGGAGGTGTTCCCGCTGTACCATTTGGATGGGGGTCAACCGGGGGTGGATCGACACCCTTCGGTTCAGGGTTTGCAGGATGGGGGTCATTCGGGGGTTCCTCGGGGTGGGGATCAAGCCTTGGCGGGTCAGCAGGCTGGGCTGGAGCAGGGTCACCAATTCCAAGCTTTCAATCCCCATTTTCTGGCATAGGGCCAGCCATTGCCGGCTTGGGACCTATTTTACAAGGTTTGGGGTTAGGTAATCCTGGTAATAGATTTTCCTGGCCGTGGACGAATCCTGGCAATCTTGTCATGAATCCTTGTGATTTGCGTCCGGGAGACACGACTTGCATTGGGATACTAGAAAAACCAGTGTAAAACATTATTTAATTGTCGCTTGAAAATTGTATTTATATTTATGCATATATTTATGTATGTGCACAGTACCATATTTTCGTACATTAATACAAGTAATCAGTTTCCTATAATATTTACCAATTTAAGTATGTATGTACATACATGTGTAGATATCTGGTTCAGGCTAACACATTTTTATCACAACGAATGATCCGAGATCAAACCAGACGCAAAAACACGTTTTTTATTCATTTACATAGTGGGGTCATAAGTTCTCGTGAATGCATTTCCGGTAATAAATCCCAAAGTATTAGAGCTATCTGTTCGAAATTTTTATGGATTAACAAGGTATTAATATTGTTTAGAAATCATAACTTCTTTGTCAAGATTTCGTCCACGGGCAATTAGACAAGACATAACTCGTGACGGCTACAGGTTGATCGTGGTACGCGCCAATTTTCGTGCAAAAAGTATTTCAGACTTTTCACCGTTGGCAAAAAATTTAATAGAAAAAAAGGCCAGATATTTGTTGTACAGAAGTCTGACATCCGTTTAAGTATGCGGAAGTCAATACGAAGTCATCACCGTGGTGTGCATGGGAGCAAGTTGGCTGGAGAAATGAAATCTCTGTTTTTTACCGCAAAGGGTACAAGTTGAAGCCAAGAATTATTTTCAGAGTGTCCTAAAGCCAAACGTTAATAACCTGAACCCTGGACCCTCCGAAAATCGACATTGGACCTTTCAACAAGACCCTGTTCCTGCGCAAGGTGCAAAATTGTCCAAAACTGGCTTCAGACGAATTTTCATGACTTTTTTTCATCCGTAGAACGGTGCTCAGTATCTGCAGACCTTAATCCCCTAAATTATGACTGGTGGTGAAAATTATAGGTACAAGTATGCTCTAAATTTCACCCAAGTGTGGAAGGGCTGAGGTCGCACTTACTGAAGATCTGGCGCTTTTCTCTGGAAATCCGTGCGTGCCGCGATCGAGCAGTTTTCGCCACGACTTATGTCTTGTGTACAAGCCCGTGGAGGAAATTGTGAAAACGAAGTTATGATTTCTAAACAAGATTAATACCTTGTTCATCCACAAAAATTTCTATCAGATAGCTCTAATACTTTGGGCTTTATCACCGGAAATGCATTCACCGGAACTTATGGTCGGACGTATATATGTAAGTAAGCACTACCCTCTTTCCATATTGCGTGAAGATCTTAAATTTAACTTTGCGCCCACATTTGTATCATATTTATACAAATCATTCATATATACAGATATATGTAAATGCAAATTACGGGGGTCTGGGGCCTGGATGGGGGTCAAGTACATAAGCCAGGCTGGGGATCTGGATGGAAGCCAACTGGAGGCGTTCCTGCTGTGCCATTTGGATGGGGGTCAACTGGGAGTCGATCGACACCCTTGGGTCCAGGGTTTGTAGGATGGGGGTCATTCGGGGGCTGTTCCTCGGGCTGAAACCTTGGTGGGTCAACAGGCTGGGCTGGAGCAGGGTCAACAATTCCAAGCTCTCAGGCCCCATCTGACATATTTCATCTGGCATGTTTCAAAGCTTTGGTAATAGAGGCAATCTTGTCATGAATCCTTGTCCTCATGGGGATATGCATTGCAATGGGATACTAGGAGGGTAAACACAAAATACTATTAATCCAGCACCGTACTGTACGGTCGTTATGTACGGTCCGTACATAAGGAGTGTATTAAATATGTATGTAAGTATGGGTCACGGGATCTTGAATCGATTTATCTACCTTCAGGTTTCTAAATACATATCCAAATACGGCATATGTATCTACATGCATGCGTGTGTTTTTTTATTAAATCTTGAAGTTATTGTCGTCAATATACTTATGTAGGCTTATACAGCAGCGGAATAAATCATTCTCATTACCAAGAAATTTAGAACTTACCTTTGTAATACATATTTACGACCATGGCTTGGCAATGAATATTTTATTGGGTAAAAATTGTCTTTATGCAAGAAAACTTGACATTTCGTATTCATTTTGATTAAATAAAATTGTCTTCCTACTTGATATTTATCTTTCATTTATTATCTTGATATACATAAGCAGACTTATAATTTTCATTTATTTCGTTTAAAGTTTATCTACATAAATCATGGATTACGAAAATACGTGGCTAGTGCTGGAAACATATTGCAAGGCGTACCGTTATCTTTGGAAATATCCGTTGTATTTCGATCTGCGAAATAAGCGAATGCGTAATTTGCCCAGAAAAAGCGTCAGTTTTATAGTATGGTCAATTTGTGTGGGTTTCTCAATGTTAGCAGCTTTATTTGGCTCCTTGGGGTGTCTTTTCTGGTTCAACTTTGTTCCAAATGCGACTTCAGATAATTTGGTGACAACGGTGGAAATATTCGTCGTTGTTTTTGTCCTAATTTTGGGAATTTTTGGGTGCAGCATATTCCTCTGGATTTCTCTCTACTTGGAGGATGAAGTGACGAACTTTAACCAGTTTTGTGTAAATTATGAAATACTTTTTGCTAAAGGTGAGTAAAATTTTTATGAACTAATAGTTAACAAGATATAGTCCAGAAAGTTATGGGCCATATTTATTAAAGTACTAAAGTTAAAGTATTAAAGTATGAGGTATGTATTAAAGTATGGTCTTAAAGTTTTACCATATCACTACATCACGGTCGAACATACATATGTACTCCGGACCGGTATAATTTTAATACCAAGCGATAGCTAACTTAACTGAGAAATCAATACCTGCATGACTATCCAAGATTTCTAACAGTGTGAATTTAGTACTAGTCAAAACCTTTCCAAGTAACTCTTGTTATCTGAACAGGAGCAAAATATAAAATGTGCTTGTAAACACTTTACATAATTTTCATAACAATTTTATTTTTATTGTAGGAGAAACTAGGCAGGCCACAAATAATCTTGACATCATTAACAATACGCCACAAAGGCGGGGAGCTGTGATCCTTTTACTCAAGGCGGTAATGATTTACTACGCCATCTTTCCCTGGGTTTGGTACCCTTTCTTCGTGTACCTTGGAGTTGACCCACCCTACATTTTTTACCGGTTTATCCTATCCGCCTTCAACCATCCGTTTAACACGGCTAGCAAACTGGCAATCCTTCCAGTCCGATTTTTCTACATTTTTATCTGTTGTTTTGAGGGGACCCGAATGTTTGCATTTTACGTGATATACCTCGTCTTAAAATACTTGGGAAATTGTGCCGTTTTCGAAGAGATCGTCTCACGTTTGAATAACGTGACACGCAAAGCTGACCATTTCTCGGAAATTGACAAGATCTGCCAATATTTTAACAGATTTAGCATAATTAATCAACATGGTAGAGTTCGACACATGAATTTCATCAGTTTAGGGTATTTTACGCTATTCTGTCTCGGTGTTCTTGCGAACTTTGCCACGATCAAGATGTATCATAGCTTTGATTTGATATTTTACCTGGTTTTTGCAACCTTGTCGGTCCTGGTATTAGTGGGATGTCCCCAAATTTCGCAACCTCTCATTGAAAGCAATCAAAGCCTGGGACGAGTCATGGATAAATTGAGGGAAATAAATTTGTTTGGAGGAGAAGCAGGTGGTGATCGTCACAGACGTAAAATACTTGCTAAACAGATCAAATCACTCGTTATGATAAAAACATCGTTGGGTTTGAAATCTCTGAAATTTATGGACTGCACAATGGATATGAAGTCTGGGATTTTTTATGGCATCATGGATTACACGATATCTGCATTGTTGTCGATTGATGTGAAATAAAAAAAGGAGGGTTGCACATAACAAGGCATCTAATCCTACATATGTAAATATTTAATGAATCAATGAACTTATTGCTATTTCTTTAAACGGGTTGTGGGCCCATGAAGGTACAACAATGTACAAGCAGACATATATGTAAGTTATCTGGAGTTCAGATCAGGGTACTAATGTATCGATTTATAATTAAGTTTAAAATTAGGGTTCAGTGTAGTATGAAGGGACCTTATGTTGCGCATAAAGTAGCATGAGGTGTATTTAATGGTAAAAATATAAATAACCAACGACCAAATAATTAAGTCTGTTCGCCACACATGAAACAGGTCTACATATTTATAAATCTGTACGCCGGACGAGAAGAGGGCGACCTTTAAGAAGAATAAGTATTTCAGTTCAACGGTGGCCGCAATTTTAGGACTTCCAGTCCAACCGGACGAGAGCTGGATGGGATGTTTTAACTTTAGGACGATGACATGTTGGAAGATTTTTATGTAAATTCAGATAGAGACACTTGTACATAAGGCGCTGGTTGTTTAGCTTTTCGAAATTAATGTATGTAAAATGATAATATTTTGTGTACTACATAATGTCTGCATTTTCAATTTTCTGCGAATAAAATTCTATAGTTTGATGAATAAACCCATTTACATCTTGAAGTTGTAGTCGATACATTGTGTGTAAATATATTTTGATTTCGGGATATTGCTATTTAATCGATTTGCCTTTATCTTTTTAACTACATATCCAAATACGACATGTATTAAACCTTGGGGTTGCTGTCGGTACAAATACTCAGATAAATAAGCTTATGAAACAAACGAATCAATCATTACTTTATTATTGCCAATAAATTTTTATATAGATAACTCTTGTATTAATTAAACATGGCCATGAATTTTGAGTACGGCTTTTATTACAATGAATATTTCATTGAAGAATACAAAATCAACCTACGCATTTCGAGAAGAAAGCATGACTACCCTTCTCATTTATTTTTTCTGTTTGTAAGCGAAACAGGTAATCTAAAAGCTCCCAATCATGGACTATGAAAATGCTTGGCTAGTACTGGAAACATATTGTAAAGCATACCGCTATCTTTGGCAATATCCGTTTTATTTCGATCTGAAAACCAAGCGAATGCGTAATTTGCCCAGAACAAGCGTCAATTTTACAGTATGGTCAATTTGTGTCGGTTTCTCAATGTTAACAGCATTGTTTGGCTCCTTGGGATGTCTTTTTTGGTTCAACTTTGTTCCAAATGCGATGTCAGATACTTCGGTGACAACGGTGGAAATATTTGTCGTTATTTTTATCCTGGTTTTGGGAATTTTTGGGTGCAGCAAATTTCTCTGGATTTCCATCTACTTGGAAGATGAAGTAACAAACTTTAATCAGTTTTGTGTAAATTATGAAATACTTTTTGCTAAAGGTAAGCAAGTAAAGCTGCACAAGAACGTAGACCTGTTTTAGCTTAGTACAGAATAGGATGGATTTCAAAACATGTCCTTAAGAGATCAAATTCATTATAAAAGAAACCGTTGCAAACGAAATGTAGCAAAGGGGTGAAAACACACGGAATTGTCTTTGTGGCACGCCCACAACGCCTTTCAGCACTTTCCCGTCATTGTCTCACATTACCCCACGTCTAATTTTGCCTCGCTTTGACACCCCACCCGCGTAGTTCAAAAGTACACGACAATACCTTTCAATACACACCCCACATGACAAGTCATTTTTTCGACATTCGACACCTCCCACACGGTCATGGAGTCGTCGCACGTCGAAATGATGGCGATTGCTGAAATCCTCGCCAAAAAATACGTCTAAAACGGTGGCGACAAAAAATTCGACAATTTTCGACTTTGGCGTCGTCTACACGGTCATCGCAAGTCAAAATGATGGCGATTTCTGAAATCCCCATCCAAAAATACGTCTAAAACGGTGGAAACGAAAAATTCGACACGTCTGACCGTTGGCGTCATCACCGTGGCGCCGTGACCTTACGACCTACAACGCCCATCTTCGAACTCATCCCGTCCCCAAAAATTAGAAACTCGTTGGCGTAAACGGGATGTCGAAATTCGAATCGGTTCTAAAGTTATCGTGGATACAGACGGACGGACGGACAGACGGACAGACGGACGGACGGACAAGACATTTCCACAAAGGGGTTTTGACCCCTTAATAAGTTGCCCTGACACCAAAATTTTGCAAGGTCGAGATTCAAATTTTAGAAGCATATCTGTGTACCATAGGGATCCTATTTTACTAAAGTTTGCCGCGCTCTACCACATGAGCCCGAACAAATTCGAACAATACATACTTTTGCGTCAGTTGTTTGCTAACATCTATGAAAATATGATGTAAAATTTTCGGAAATTTCAAGACAACCATACCAAAGAAAATAACACTAGAGTAGGAAGATCCTGTTTTGGTACTTTTCAGGCTCCCTTTCATCTAAATACATACGACATACCCGTCCCCGCAATGCGGGACCCGCATATGTAGATGTTAACAAACAATTTATCTGACGAAAATATTGTCCTAATTTGTGCCCGATCACGTGGTGGAGTAAGCAAAACTAAAGATAATAGGATGGCCCCTAATGGTATTTAGTGGAAAATTCCATGGTAAATATTTCATATATTTCCTCTCAAATTTTGGAATTTTCCCTACCCGATGTTTAAAATTTGATTCTTTGTACAGAGGGTGTTTCAAGATACAAAACTCACTTTTATTTATTTTATTAAAGCTTTATTTTTCGTTGGAAAATTTTGTCAATTGCTTCAATGTCTAGCCCATTAGTTTGTCTAACGAGGTGCAATCGCTTTTTCCACACCATTGTCACGTTAGACACTTTTTTGGAGTGATTTTGTTCCACCCGTCCGTGAAAAGTTTTCTAAAACCCATTTAGCGCCCGAACAATCCGCTTGAAAATCTCTGCACCAAGTACTCAAATCCAAAATAAGCTATCCGAATAATGTCAGGCGACTCCTCAAGAGTAATTTCAGTTCAAAATTTATTTCTGGAAAAGTATTTTTCATACAGTTTTCGCGAAGTTACGCTGAAATTCTTGATGTAAGAGGGCTTGGGGGCGTACACCGAGTCCTCCTCCGCGTTAGTCTATTTAGGGCAGAGTGACTGACCCTAAAACTATTGCCTGACTCACCCCCAACATTTTGAATACTTTTCTGTGGTGACGGATGTTCCTTATTGATGAAATTTGCAATTTACTTAGTACAACTCATCCTCGATCCTGGCTGATCTTGGACGCCACTTTAATGGAGGTGGAACTCCAGCCAATGGTCCCTGCCTTTTTCTTAGTGAGGCAAATACCTGACAACGAAAAAAATTTGCTAAGTATGCATTTACCCCACCCAAAAAAAGTGACATAAGTCGATTTCTCAGCCATTTCTCAACCGATTTTGATGAAATTTTGCACAGATCATTGTTAGGTAATTTAGAAAAGATGTGCTAGTCGACTTGGCGAATTTTTGATTTTTACCCAAGTTATGTGCCAAAATGTGCAAAAATTTTCCTCTGAAAACATATTTATTTTTATGACTCATAAGTGGTGTATCCCAGCATGCTCGCTTATTGAAAATATTTTAGTCAAAGTCATTCCGGACATTTTAAGCGCAAAATGACCTAAATCGGTTGAGAAATAAGGGCGTTATTCAAGTTTGAAAATCAAAAATTTAATAAAAATATTCAAGGTGCCGATAATAACGGCGGTTGTGCAGTAAAAATAATGTCTTTGACAACCAAATTACAAGTTTTAAATAAACAAGGCCCCAAAAAATGGGAAATCTTAGTGAGTCAGCACAATCACAGTTAATAAATAAAATTAGATTGAATAACTTTTGCATCACCGCTCTCGGGATAATTTTTACTGGGTCCACTGTAAATTTAGTTTTGTATACGCATGAACTCTTGCATTCATTAAATTAATTGAGATTACAAGATGACGTTTTTACTATTGAACGAGAAGTTGAATAAATTAATCGATATGAAATATAATTGTGAACTGCGAATTTTAAATTTAGAAAGATTTGAAAATCTACAATTTCGATATATAAATTTAGATATCCTATTAATTCCTATTCAGATGAAATCTCCAGACCCTTTGAGGGGGGGGGCAATTATTCTAAATGATTAATTAATGCTTCCAGGAAAAATTATACCGAGAGCGGTGATGAAAAAATTATTCAATCTAATTTTATTTATTAACTGTGATTGTGCTGACTCACTAAGATTTCCCATTTTTTGGGGCCTTGTTTATTATGCTAGTGTCATTTAATACACTGGAAATATTGGTGTGTCTGACATTGAATTCGGTTGTCGCCAGTTTCTTAACAATTTTTTATGGTACAATTCATCTTTGGAAAAGTCTTTTATGACTACCTCGCACTCCGTGGGGGCGAGTGGGGGCATGTTGGTGCACAGAACTAAGAGTTGTATTGCAAATTGTTCCTTGATTATCTGGGTACAACACATGCAAATCTCAATAATCCCAGATGTCTAGAACACTTATTATATCAAAAAAAGTGAGTTTTGTATCTTGAAACATGCTCTGTATTTTTCGTTAAAAAGTGTAAACATGTAAAACTGGTTAAAATAAATATTCGTCTTTGATAGAGAATAATGAAAATTTAACTTGTTGCTATTAGATGTAGGTAGGAAATCAACAGCATACCCAAGGAAAATTTTAATAAAAAATAAACAATACCAAATAGATTAACAGGCCATACTTTTAATCTACGAAATTAAACGTCATATTTATTTGGTAAATTAAAAGAAACAAAAATATCCGACATTCAACCTAAGAAATTTCTTTTAACCTGAATTTAATATTAATCAAAAACCTATATAAGCAATCAATTCAATGATCTTATCGTTTTAACAGGGGAAAAGTATAAAATGTTATTGGGATCATTTAGGACAAATTTGATTTGGGCCTTATTTTTAATTTTTATTCGTAGACGAAGAAAATAGCCAGGCAACAAATAAACTTGACAATTCACAACGAAAACGGGACGTTTTGATCCTTCTACTCAAGGCGGTGATGATTTACTACGCCGTGTTTCCCTGGGTTTGGTACCCTTTTTTCGTCTACCTCGGAGTGGACCCGCCCAACATTTTATACCGGTTTATCTTATCCGCTTTCAACCATCCGTTCAACACGGCCACCAAACTGGCAATCCTTCCGGTCCGATTGTTCTACATTTTTATCTGTTGTTTCGAGGGGGCCCGAATGTTTGGCTTTTACGTGATATATCTGATCTTAAAATGCATCGGTAATTGTGCCGTTTATGAAGAGATTGTCTCACGTTTGGATAATGTGACACGCGATGCCCACTTTTTTTCGGAAATTGACCAAATCTGTCATTATTTTAACAGATTTATCATAATTAATCAACACGGTAGAGTTCGACACATGAATTATATCAGTTTGGGGTATTTTACGCTATTCTCCCTTGCAGTTCCATCGAATTTTGCCACAATCAAGATGTATCATAGCTTCGACTTGATATTTTACCTTGTTTTTGCAACTTTGTCCGTCGTAGTATTAGTTGGATTTCCTAAAATTTCTCAACCTCTGATTGAAAGCAATCAGAGCTTGGAACGAGTCATGAGTAAATTGAGAGAGATGCAAATTTGCGGAGAAATAGGTGCGGATCGTGGCAGGATTAAAATACTCGCGAAAAGGATCAAATCAATCCTTACGGTTAAAACATCCTTGGGGCTGAAATCTCTGAAATTTATGGATTGCACCATGGATATGAAGTCTGGGATTTTTTACGCTATTATGGATTACACAATTTCAGCATTGTTGTCGATCAATGTGAAATAGAAAAGGTGAGTTGTGCGAGTATAACGTGGGCTGTATTTAATGGTAAATAGGTATATCCGTAGATATGTAGTTAATTCATATTTTAATTTTGTAAATTCGTGTGTATTGTATGGTATGCTAATTAAAAGTTAATGTCCCAAGTGTATAAATATTCAACCTAATTGAACGTTAATTCTGCAAGATATTTAGTAATTTGCAATTTTTAGCTGTGAAACAATGCTTTATTCGTAATCATAAAAGATAATAAAGACAAAGCTTTCGTTGACTAAACTAAATAAACATTATTACAAATTACATACATCATACATCATCATGAAATAAGAACTTGACAGTTAATTCATCCCCTGCATTTTATATTTTAACTTTAATTTTGATGGAACAATGGAATTGTAAAGATTGAATTAGTACAATAGAAATGATATAGGAAAGTAGGAAATATTTATTTTCATGGAAATCAAGCTGAAAGCGTATGAAAACCTTGAAGCATACAAAGCGAGCGGGAGCCATCTGTCAAATCATACATTGAAATTGTGCTGAGCAGAATTTTAATAAATTTTAGCTTTATCCGTAAATGATTTTGCCAATTTTATAAGTTTTTAGTTCACGTGTATTTTTTATATCTCTTCCTTCAAATGTTAACCATTGAAGCCATGAATTTGACATTGACACTGTAAAATCCGTAAGTTCAAAGCTGTATCAAGTTTGTTTACAAACTTTTACAAAAATAATAATCTGTGTTGAAAAATTAAGTTGATTTTCGGTGCAAATTTGTGTAAACCTGTGTAAGGTTGAAGTTCAGTTTGTATGCTATATTTTGAATTCAAAATTTGAATACAAAATCTAATTAAATGCATACTAATTTACTTGAGTTTATACATATTTACTTCGTGATAACTTTGAATTCTAGTACATTTCGCAAAATAAAGTCAACCAAATAAGTATTTAATACGATTTTGAATTTTTCTCATTCCAGGTTTCCATTAAATTAACAGAGTGTTAAATCTTGCCGATAATGGAACCTAAAACTGAATTAGGAAATTTAAACCCCATCGTCCGCCTGAGTCGTGATGACCGTGTCGAAATTGCTGTTGCAGAGTTCATAAGTAAGTTCTCAAACACATTATCGGTTTTCGACATTTTTTGCAATCCCCCCTTTTACCAGGTGTCCCACAATTTTTCATGACGTATGCTAAAAAGTGTTCAAATGATAGTCTAAACTGCAAATAATTAATTTTACATAAATATGATTTAATTGCAGGTCGACATCACACTTATTGTTTCCTATGCTCCACTTCAATTCAAGATTCGACTCCCATCAGTGCTCGCACCGCGAACCGGATCGCGATCTGCAAATCATACTTTCAAGATATTAATCCGATCAGTTTTAAAAATGAGGGGGACATTGGGGACAACATTGAGGACAAAGCGTGTCGAACTTGTCTCATTGAGGTGGAAAAAGTGTGGATGTTAAACGAGGGGATTATCAGGATTAAGCAACAAATCGCGTCAATTTTGACAAAAGCGAATCGGCAATGGCATCGACCAGGTAGAGATGAATTATTATGTTTTATCAAAAAATGTGAATTTTTAATGCAATAATTTAAAATGTAAAACTTAGTCGTCGTAACCACGGCTCATTCAAACTTGGTAAAAAATCCTGTCGCTCAGCCTTCTTCCCGGCCATGCATCAAGATAGAGACGGAATCCATCAACCCCAAAGAAAATGGGATCTACATCGCGAACAATATTTTCGTCGGCGTTGATGACGACAATTCTTCGGACGAGGTTAATGATTCCGCAGTAATGTCGAGAAGCCTCCAGTAAGTGAAATATACTTCGAATCTGGATAAATTAGATGATGTATCACGTTTCTTACAGGGCTGAACCCACTATTGTCACCAACGCGAGAAGAAAGCAGACCCTGTTTATCCGGAATCTGGACTTTTCTGGAGGACAAGGTAACCCGTCGCCGAATGGACCAGTAGTCAAAAAGTCTATGCTTGTCAAAAAGCTTAAATGTTACCACTGCGATAAAACGTATTTCGCAAGGACTGCCCTCACCCGTCATGTCCGCTCGGTGCATGATCACGTCCGCTACCCATGTTCCGTCTGCGGGAAGAAGTTGATCAGTCTAAGAAATCGGATCACGCATGAGGTCATGGTCTGCAAAGTGGTCTATTCTCCCGACGAGCTGAAAGCATTTGGCACAAAAATATACACATGCGAGGTGCAAGGCTGTGGGAAATTATTCCCGAGACTGGACGACTATTCCAAGTGGGTCTAAATTGAAAATTTATCATGTGAACATATTGTAATGTTAATCGTGTTTGTATTTTTCAGCCATATGAAGAAGCATGCTTATCAGGGTGTCGATGCTGAATCTGGCGGCGGTGGGGATAATTTGACAGAGAGAGGAGTGGACGAGGAGGAGGAAATGGGCGAAATTTTAAACCGTGGAATAAAGTCACCACATAAAATAAAAATTGAGGACGATGCAACGATGGAGGGCGAAATGTTAAATGGTGACAATTTTTGTGACGATTAGGTTATAATTATCAGACAAAATTTGTTAATATTGATAACTAACATTTTTTGCATTTAGAAGAGTACGCTTTAATGTCTCCTGATGGTCAAGTTATCGAGTCCTCTTACACAGAACCTTCTTCCGCTGTGGACATCGTTAGCAATATTTTTATCGGGGGACCTCCCACCCTCGATAACAACAGTGTGTGTAATGTCAACCCCTAGTAAGTTAATTTATTTCTTGACAAAACCAGGCAGGTCTACAGGTTGTGGCGTGCCTAGAATTGTGAATTGGTTAAGTTTAGTGTAGTTGAAAATTGTTTATTTCCTCCTCAGGCCTGAATCACGACAGGGAATTGACCGTAGCACCGCCAGTGAGACAGATATCAAGTTTAACCAGTTACCCTCTAGTCGTCCGTCACGTCACAAAAATGAATTTTTGCGTGAATTAACTTTTGTATTTTTGTATGTAAATATTTTGTATGTGTACAACTTACTATTAGAGTTATGTTTTAGTTTGACAATTTGAGTCTCCTATGTACGTATGTAGAAATGTGTATTTTAATTGGTTTATCGTGTAACAATTTTCTTTAACTGAAATATAATCGTGTATTTAAATTGTTTAAAAACCATGATTTCAATTTCAATTTACCTTTATTCAAATGTTAGTCACATTCAGTCTGGTTTACAAGTTATAACACACTATGCAAATAAACATCTGTCTATACTAATCAACTACAACCTATATTCCTCAAAAATATATAAATTCATTATTTCTAATCTTCACCAAAAATACCTTGCACAGTTCAACAAACTCATTATACGATTTCTAAACAATTCCTGTAATCATCATTTTCATACGACGATTTTCAAATCCCCTTCATAAATATTTTCAAAATAAATATTTCTATTTCTAGATATTTTATATTTTTTTTTATTAAATTTTAAATTGAATTTCATTTAATGTGTTACTGGATTATGAAATTCTCATCTTCTTCAATACGCCCCGGGCGGGACTTAATTTGACATATCGCACATGGTTTGTTCGTGTTTTTTTGGAAGACTGAGTTTGAAGTTGGTTTTAATTACGAACTAACAATTAGCCCATATTCGTTTAATTTTCACATAATCAGTCTGTTTCACAAGTCGTTTGAGTGAGGGGACTTCCCTCAGGGGATTAATTTCTCCAGGTTTGGTAAGTATTTCATTAATTAAAATTTAATTGCTTTAATTCACCGTGCTGGGTATACAAATGGTTTTGTAGGTAAACCTAGTAGACTAACGATTAATGTATGTTTAAATGCCTATTTAGTATTGAGTGAAAGCTTAGAATACATGCAGGGTTATTATTTGAAATCTTCCAGTTACACTCTGCCAAGACCAACTAGATCTAGAATTACTGACAATTAGTAACAGGGACGACATCGTAATAATGTCGACAGAACCCTTGCTAAATCCTGTGGTAAGTCTTTTATTATAGTTATCGTTTACTTTCCTTCTGAACTGGTTTTGCCAAGTTAACTTGGGAGCTAATCATCAACTTGACTTGTTTTCCAGGTGCTCGACGTCATATTCGCAAATCTCGACGTTCCTGACTTGAAAAGTGCACGTCTCGTGTGCCGAGAATGGCGCGACGTTGGTGCCAGCTGTTTAGGAAAGCGGACCTATCTCGACCCCAACAAGCTGTTCCCCTTCACGGACGGAAAATATGCAAGCGAATCGGAACTCGTCGATCCCAAACTTATGAGGCGCCTCACCCTCTGGGACTGTTTTCATCCTTCCGTCCCAGCCGATAAGAGGACTCATGACCGCGCGGACGTCCTCTTCCGCACCCCCCACGTGGCCGACTTGACCCACGAAATCCATTTCCTCGTCTCCATGAACACATTTACCTCCAAATTTGTCATAGCGATGAGGAACTTTGAGGCACGGCTTCTTAAACACGTTTCCCTCGTGGTTTACACCAACACAAAAAGTATTGAGCACAAGGGTCCATTTCCGACGTGTGACAATTTTTTCCCACCGCGACCTTCCTTGACTTCGATGAAGTTCGAATATGAGATGACCCCGGTCAAGATACGTCGTCACAAATATGGCCTGCACCAGTTTCGACCGCTCTTCCGCGCTTGGATCGTTTCCGCTGTAAATTTGGCCGTTTTGGAAGTCGCGGACTGTTTCTGTCCTAATTTAGAGGACTGCTCGAATCTGAAAGTTTTAAAGTTCCATTTTCTACGATGTGATGATCGCTTCAGTGGGAATTTGGAGTTGGGCGCGGTCACCGAAATGCTTAGTCAGGTGAAGGATTCCTTGGTCGAGTTAGAGTTGAGATACTCGTGTCGCGACCGTTTACACAGATATCAGGCAAGGATTGAACATAATTAAGCATTTGTAAACTTAATGGTGATGATAATTAATTATTTATAATGGCTAACAGACGGAAAAACTTGACCTTCCCGTCATGTCCAAACTCGCCTCTCTCATTCTTCATGCCGCCGATATTTACCAAATTCAGGACTGTTTGGATGAAGCCCACCTCCCAAAGTTGGTCCACCTCTCACTAGACAAATCCTTTTCCGCATCGACGACGCAAATTCATGAAAATCTCCGCAAACGACATGAAGGAATCCAATCTCTCGCTGTGATAATGGACTGGCGTTGGAAAAAGGAAGCCATCGCGGGAAAAATGGTCAACTTGTTCCCCTCAGTGAAGAAACTTGACTTCAGGATGGTCCTCTTGGGCGACGTTTTCTCCCCCAACGGCCTGAACGAGCTCTTGGAACCGTTCAGGTTGTGGGGTTTGGAGCAGAGCAATGTTCGTGTACGAGTGGTGAATAACTCGTCTCTGTTGGTCGCTGTTTTGAGAAACGTTTCGAATTGGAAAGGTATTAAATATTAGATGGGAAAATATGCACATATTGGATATTTAGGTAGCATTTAATTTAATTTAATTTTTTATAAATAGGCAAGAAAACAGCGGAGTTTAATCAAATTCGTGTTACCCAGAAAAATTTTGTTCCTTGCATTGAAGACGTTATTTTGTACAGTGGAGGATTCGAAAAAGTGAAAATGTCTGGATTTGCAGTAAGTATAGGCAAAATGAGAATAGTGCTTATTTACTTAATTAAATTGCTAATGTCGAATTTTGAAATTAATCAAGGAACCGAAAATTGTGAAAACCATTCGAACCATTTTTAAAGACAGAAGTGTTCCAATCAATTTCACGGGGGGTGTTCATACCAAGTAGTTTTGGAGAAATTTGAGAAGTTGGTAATTTGGGTTGCTTTGATTTTTAGAAATAGAGTATTATTTGTTTATTTCATATTTTAATATCACAATTCCTAGTACATACTCAATTTTTAAAAAATATATTTATTTTAAGTTGACAATAATATAATAATTTGAGTTTGTTGAGTTCGACGTCAAAGTTGTGCAGCTACTGATTATAATTAATTAAAATGGTAGACGTTCAATATATATTTAATTTATTTATATTTTTACATCTCTCCATTTTAATTAACGTGGAGAATAGTTAAATTTAATAAACTCGTAATCACCCAATATTTTTTTTAAGTAATTACTTGCAAAACTTAAAACTATGCGGAATAAATATGTATTTAATAGAGCTTTAGACATTTTGGTCAACATCACAATTTCTATTCAAAATATTTTCACTATCTCTGATCCACTTTGTAGTAGTCCACTTTACACCGAGTGGAATTGGGCAAGTTGCATAGACCCATCTCTTATCTATGGTTCCATTTCGCCATAGCAAGTGATAATACAGAGCGTTGCCTTTTCGTGGCGCAACCGCGATCCCGGCTGCGGGAAATACCGTTGAGCCACCACGCTCCACTGTGTTCAGCTGCAATACAAATGAATTATACATTGGAAATTCATCACTAAGAATTCGATACACCGATCAGAGGAATTATGCTCAAATTAGACCCACTTACGTAAATAAGTAGAGTTGCAGCATAATCAATATAGTTTTTCGGGTCAATAGGAACGCTTGAGAAGGTCAAATGTGCGTCATGATGGGGCGATAATTCAGCTACTAATGAGTACAATGCGACCTTAAGGCGCTCAGACAGGATACCGACAGCTTTGAGACCGGTGGTCAATTCTACTTTGCGCCCAAGCCAGACACCCGTCGCATTTCCTATGTCAGCATCGTGGATCCCTTGACAAGAAAATCTAAAACATAAGATCGATTTTTGGCAATATCATTGCGTACCGTTTTTGATAACTTACACGCAAAGTTAGCCATGCTCGGTTCACCCGCAGGCCAGTCGGATGTGGGTGGTACCTGTTCGGCTCGCATTACTGGAACTACATAATTTTGTAACTTTGGAATCCAGCCGAGTGGAATGTAGTCTCGGAAAATGAAAAGGCCTGGTCCTTCACTTAACTGTTCCACCCGGATGGGTAAAAGGGGACCGTGCGGACCGATAACCTGCTTGTCATAATGATACCAGCACCCCCGCAATTTCCAGCCCCCTCGTAAAACATCCTCCTTTCGACAGAGGTCGAGGTTCACGTAATGGGTGGCGATAGGGCTCGACTCTAACTCGTACAGCGTGGCATCTTTCCATCTGGTCATTTGAGAATATTTTATGGATACCCCGTCAGGCTGGGTTCAAAGTCGTGTTTCGAATAGTTGGCGATGACCGCGCGTTCTGTTCAGATTTTTTGAAAATGAAAAAAAAACATTGGTTCATCAGGGAAATCAATAAAATGACAAATTGCCTCTTTCGCTCATAATTTTCATCGTGCTGCTCCACCAATCGATGCCACATTGCCTCCCACCTCGAAATGTTTTTAGTCTTGGCAAGTCGTAGCCATTCTGATGCAGCGACAAATTCTTCAAATTCAATTGCCGATCCCGCCAGGACTAGAATGTGTTTGGATGAGAGGGAAATTCCCGTTTCGTTTTTTCCAATCTGCCCGATAACCAACTAAACATGGGGAAAATATAAGTCAAGAATTTATTACATACAACTAAATGAAATTTCATGACACCTCTTCCGGTCTGAGATCGAAAAAGTATTGCAGTTTGTATATATTTTTCGTAACATCGAATAAGTCGTCGTCATCCGGCCAGAGGGGAATATTTCTCAATAATTCCAGGAGGCCGGACAGCTCGGCTATTAAGAAAAAAATATATTTTCGAAATTAAGTAAAATATTGTAAAGAAACAGTTCACTTGAAACTTTGTAACTTTATAACCACGCAAATACTGTCACTAAAAAAGACGCCATGATACATACATACATACTCAAAAAGCTTGAACTTACAACTTTACGAAGTTTGCATAGCTGAGAAAGTTACAGAGACAAGCGGGGATTCAGTATGCATGCAAATTTATAACGCACCACTTTGCACTACTTTTCCTGACTCAATCTCACGTTTTAGTTTGTCTAGTAAGTAAAAGTATCTGCTGGTCATGGCGTAAGCTGCGACTGGGTTTCCTGCCACGCCCCAAGGGTCCAATGCGCCCCTCGAGAGGCGATAATCGTGCAAGTAGTTTTTCAGATACGGAAACACTGGCAATAATTTCGACGATAATTTTTCAATCTCTGTAGCGATGAGAGATTCCGAAGTGGCGAGATCAACCAGGTTTATCATGGATAAACCGTGAAATGAAGACCTTACGGTGGATTGTAGTAGAAGTAAGGCCGCTAGCAAGATTGCACGATTCGATCGCATTTTACAAATTCTGGAAGAAGAAATAGGAAATTTATAAGTTAATCTAGACACGTAATTGGTTTGAGAGAATGTGGAACACCACACAATTTTAGTAGTTGTTCAAACCATGACTTTTTAGTTTGCTTTAGGTTTCGCTGTGCAATTGTTTTAGTTTGGCATGTAAAGTATAAAAGTGAAATTATAAACAATGCTCACTTTTCTACTACAATAGAAGCGACGATGTGGTAGAATTTTATATGTTACAGTTACATACATGCTATTTGTCACTAAAACCTAAACTTATCTATGTAAGTTAAGTTGCATTTGTAAGTGCTTAGATAAATATATTTATTGCTCTAAATACATACCAGTTTTTTGTTCAGGCCATAATATTTAATGTAAATGTAATCCTATTATTAGTATCGATATCTGCATGATATTGTACATTCAACTTAATTATCATTTAATTATTAAAATTTTCTCTAAAGCCTGCATGTAATTTTAAATTACCTAATAGAAAATCATATTCATTTTTAATATATCTTCATTCGATGATGATAAGTTCGTATTGTTTCTGACTTTTTTGTTGGGACAAATGCTGGGATAGGAACTCCTCGTAAATACCTTGGGACTGAGATTTATGTGATACAAGTGCCTGACCCTGATTCCCGTTCGCCTGATTATTTAAAAACACACGTCGACGTATGCCTTTGGTGGGATCGTGTTGCGTCGGGGGACAACTCTGCGACACATTTTCGTGGAGAAAATCACAGTATAAATGTTGCGATTGAGATTGGGAAAACTGAGTTGTAGACGAGTTATTTGGGCCCGTCCTTGGTGAAATCTTCAAGAACGTACGTGGAATAATGGGGGTCATGAATTTCATAGGTTCTACCTCCGGGAAAGAGATCTGAGTGATTTGATTTGGAGTTGTGCTAATGATAAACATAAATTAATCAAAAGTGAGATAAGAATAAGGAAATTATACGTATTTATAAACTTGCCGTATAATTCGTGGTGGCTTTCTTGTCTTTCCTTTGTTTGATTTAGTTTTTAAGTGAGGTTCGTTTTCGGACACGAATGACTTCTTCCCACCCTTATCCGATGGATTTGCTGGTATTTCCTGGGGAGGTGTAGCAGGCTTATTGCACGACCTGAGCAACGGTCGGTTTTCCGGAAATAAAACTCGTTTTGGGGTACAGTTGAAATCTGCTAATTTATTTGTGAGACTTCGATTTTCTTTTCGAGCCTGGAGTAGATTGAGTGCAAAAATAAGTGATAAGGAACTAAGATGTGGAAATAATTCGAGAATATAGAGGTACATAAGTATTTACTGCGTTATACCTCATGTTCACTCGGGTTTTTATTTTCCCCATGAGTCTTGTAGACACGTTTGGTGGCTGGACTGGCATGGACAAGTTTTAAATGTCGGTCCAGATCTTTGAGTTTCCGAACCTTGTGACAATCTGGGTCATTGTTTTTATACTTTTTACTGGGGTCGAGGTTTTCCAACGAGTCCTGATCGATGTTGATCTTGACCTTGACCTGAGAACGTGTCCGAACGTTCCGTCGGTGTGGGAGGACTTGTTTCCCAAGGTCACTTAGCTTATTGTTGAGAAGTTCTTTCCCCGAGATGATTATCGTGTTGGCATTGCAACTTTTTTCCTCTGTACTGATGAATAACCTTTCCGGGTGTTTCCTATTATACCTGGGGAAGCATAACCTCCATCAAAATTTGGCTCCCGCGTGCGTATCCCTACCATGCTAATAGTATGGGCAGGATACGAGCGCGGGATGATGGAGGTTATACTTCCCCAGTATTAATCTCGACGCTTCTTGGTGGATCAATCTAAATTCAAATTATGATTATGTAAATATAGTAGCGATCTTTTACGTGGACTAAAATGTGAAATATACAATTTTAAAAACTCACCCTTTGCTTCTTCTTTGACACGGTCAAAATACCGAGACTGTTGGCTTTGGTGAAATTTAGTCGAGGGCGAAGTCTTCGTAACCACGACGTTGAATTTCGAGTATTTTTCGATCGATTTGACGCAGTGCCCCGCATTCTGATAAGGAATCCTTCGATAACAGAAAAATGTATGTGAATTGAATTACTGCGTCAAGAATTGCATTTGAATACTAGATGTGATTAGAAATTCTAATTTAGAATTAGCAATCAGCGTTAAACATATACATAGTTTCAAATAACGCCAACAAATCCAATCAAATAACTAACAACTCGAATTTTCTACTATTCAAGAAACTGAGCAATTAACTAAGTCAAAACTTTGCCTAAATTGCTTACCACAGATATCAAGAATCGCAAGGAGAAATGTCAAACAAATTGTTTTTTGACCAAAACACATCAAGATAAAAATGACAAATTGTGATGTGGATTTATAATTAGTAAATATAGAATTATAATGTTGCATTGGTGGAAAAATGTAGAAAATGATAGTTGAACACATAATTAATGACTTGTCCATGACAAGTTGTCATAGCAAAACGAGTAGAATTAAAAATTTTGATCGACAACAAAACTTCTTTTACAAAAAACGAGAACCGGGTAAGAATTACAAATTGGGAGTCTCAATTTGAGACGCATGCTTTTTTGTACTGAAAATCATGACCATAATTTTTATTTCAACATCTGCACAAACTTCATTTTAACATTTTGTTTTGCATGAAAGGTCAGTAATTTATCATTTATGGAGATTGTAATATTTCTGTCCGTACATTTACATATGCAAATTTTGCATTTTTACGGAATATGAAAATTCTTATTTCTTGTACTTTAACTTTAATATCCGTAGTAGTATCTCTTGCAAAAATAGTTGTTGCATTAAGTATTATTATCCCTTCAACTTTTAATCACATTTGTTCAATGTTTTAGTTTAATATTTTGCTGAACAGAATCAGTTACAAAATCAAATCAAAATTGATTTTTTTTCGAAATCTATCGAAATTTTACCTTCTTATTTAACTCGTATTTATTAAAAATGCAGTCGACAAGTATCTGAACAGTACAATTAATTATTTCACTCTTCCCCGATATCATTCCATGTGGAGTTAACATTCCACTTAAGATATTCCGACCCACGAAGCAGCCAAGTCCAGTAAATGGTGGCAAAAACGAGGAAACATAGTGATAATAAGATCACCGTGACGCGTTCGATATCCCGGTCGATAACGTGATACAACCGTTTTCTTTTTGGCTTCTTCTCGGCAGATTCCTGACTCCTTAATCGGTTATTGAACTCCTCCTAAATTATTAAATTTGAGCAGGTATTAGTATTTAGTCAGCTTTATGAAATTTTGAACAAAGCTAAAAAAAACACTTTCCAATTTTTCTAGGTTTACAAAATTATAAGCACGACACCCCATTTTTTTCACTTACGGCAGCCTCTCTCTGTATGCGCAAACGTTCTCGCGCGTGACGCGCCCTTGTGACATAAATATTATGCAACGTCAGATATACAAATTTTGAAGGGGTTTAGTAATTTTTTCAAACCAGGCTCCAATTGTGAAGGCGAATAAGGCCATGAAAATGAAAAGGATGCAGGTCACCATCCACAGGTCGATACCTGTTCAAATGACAATTATTTATCACAGATACAAGATCAATGATGAAAAATATTATCGCCGGTACCTTTTACGTATCCTACAACGGGAGTGTTTTCTCTGTTGAATATTTTATTTAATTAGAAACTTTTAATGTGGATAATAACATGGAAATAACTTATCACCGAATTGGTTTCGATTATGTCACCCGTCAGTGTACGAGTGCCAAATTCTTACCAAATTGGATAAGGCATAGGTTTTATACCTACCTAATCGAGGAAAACATTGACGTCTGTGTGAGCAGCGACGCCAACTCTGGCTTCGAAAAGTTTGGTAGGAATTAGAAAACAGAGCCACGTGACGATTAAGAAAAATACGCTGGGAAGATAAGTCTGCAGTAAATGATAACTCATTTTGCGGCGCATAGCAATTTCAAACCAAAGATAGCAATTCGTCCTCCCTGTAGATAATATTTTGCAGTGAAAAATATGTACATATACATGCAAAATTTGTAGTGCAAAATTTGCACTATAAATATGTATGTATGCGTATTTCAACTTATTTACCCTGCCTCGTTTCTGGCCCCAAATTCGTGGGGCTTTCAAACTCTCGGATGTTTGTGACTTGGTAGTCAAAATTGGGGTCGGAGGTTTCATGCAGGTAGACGCCATACGCTTTGTTCCTCCACCAACGCAGGCTCAATTGTGAACTGTCGTACGAATCTGAGGGTGCAATTTATTTATTGTCAACTAATTAAATAAATATGTATTTATTTAACTTGGCTAATGAACTTACCACTTCGGAGATGAAACTGACATTTTTGCGAATCTGCAGGATAGTAGATAAAATTCATGTCGCAGTGGAGCGTTATTAGCATCCTAAAAATTTACATGAGAACATTTTATCACATTGCATGGCCAAGTCGCAAAAGCTTTTCAGTCATCCTCCACACGCTGGTGTGAAGACCACGTGGTCATTATATAATACCTCGAGCGTAGAAATATTGCCGCAAAGCTTGGATTGAACAGTAACGTTTGTCCCGTCTTGTCCAGAACTGTTGGTCTTCTGACAGATTGCACTTCCTCTGTGAGAAAAACATACATGTATGTAAATGTATGAAAATGACCCTCACAAATTCGCTTCCTAGCACTTTCACCAACCAAAAAAGACATCTGGAGTCCACACTTTTTCAGAAAAACTGAGCGGCATCGGTCTCAATTGACGGACGTCGAATTTATTAAATTTTTCCACAGATATATTCTTCTCGATTAAACCTCGCACGATATTACCGTCAATCCACATCAGAATGAGGTCAAGATCCAAAGTGACTTCCTATTGCGTAAGAAGAAACGTTGTAGATTACTTTTATATGAAAAATTTTCACGGGAAAAATATAATCTTATATTATAAGCTGGAAATGTTTGTCTGCAACGGAAGTGAAAGTAATTTTCCGAAACGGAAGTGAAAGTGGAGAAAGTTAATCTTAATTTAATTACTTCCGGTGCGGACTGGTATTCAAGGTGTGGAACTTATCGCCCGGCGAAAGATGGGCTTATACTCTAGTTATCTAATATATAAATACTTCTTTCTCTTCATTCATGTCAAGTACGCTGCGAATATTTAAGTACGCCAGGGATGGTACGGGCATCTTGATCTGCGTCTGTGTCCCGTTGGGATGACTAATTTTGGTCACAATTTGTGGGGCGGCTTGTTTATTGTAATTCTTTGGGAGGTAGAAATTCTCGTTGAATTCAAATTTAGGCGACGGGGATTCAGAACTAGTGGGAGGAACGTCGTGTTTTAGGAGGAAGGCACATAATAGTTTCTCCCTCCGTGAGAGGGTAACTTCTTCGTTGGTTAAGTTGTTATCATGCTGGGTGAAATTTTCGTCACAAATTTCATGGATGGGAGAATATGGAGATGTGGATATTAATGGAGAGGATGTAAGTGCATGTCCTGGAATACTTTGAAAATGATATTAATTAGTAAATCGATCTAATTTGAAGATATTTATGCAGTTCTTAATATTGGGCGTACTCACGACAATCTGCGTATAGTTCGAAATCCTAGCAAATTGAGATTTCACGTTCCAGCCGTGACGTGTTTGTTCGGAAATTTGCCCAATAAATGGAAATATTAGGCAGGATTAGATTATTTTCTAAATTAATGGAAATATGTATGATATAAGATTCTGCCATGCATGACTTGAGTACGCCCAACGTAACTACATAAATATGTAACTATGTAAGTATGTACCTAAGTGCAGTAAAACTAAGGAACAGATTTAAAACTTCAACTGAAAATGGCATGATGATTATTAAAAGTGTTCTTGTATTGACTGATATGAAATAAGAACTGGCCTATCCTTAAAGATTTCTGCCTGTTTAGTAATTGGTTACTAAGTATATGCTCCTGTTGAGATTTGCACATTGAGATCAGATTAAGATTAGATTAATTTCTTGTTGATAGCGCATGTAAAGTGTTGCTTTATCCAATCGAAAAACCAGATGGTAGGTTTCACAGTACGTGATCTTGTTTAATTACATCTTCCACGAAATTCCAGGAATTTCGCCACTACCAAGAAGCAGGATGGAATAAAGTAACATGCTACACAATTTCATCACGACATGAAGCCATTCATCAACTGTAAACGAGTTATTAATTGTAAATGCATGAGTGGAATTAAGCATGTTATGGTGCAAAGTATGTAATTGTTAGCGACTGTGCATAAAGGATGTCCAGATTCTGAGATTCTATGTGGGATAGAATTATCTGAAAATTGACAACATGCCTTATTTATTTTTGTATGCAGGGCCCCAAGTGGGAATAAATGCGAGGATTAGCATTCCATCTTTTCTATATGCAAACAACCGAGCTACAAATAAGTACATACGGGTTTACTTACTTGTCGAACAAAAAGATCTGTATGCAAATTCAACCATAAAAACTAGTCTGGTCAATACACAAGTATGTTGGTATGTACTTCATTAATATATGAGTAAATATGTTGTAAGTAATTAAATTAAGTGTATGCTTCAATTTGTTCAAGTGGTTTTTATTTTACATACTTTTTTTGTAAATTTAAATGAAATGGGACTGGATCAATGTTTGTATAAAATGGTAACCGGAAAAAATCACCTGGAAAAAATCACCTCGGAAAATATCTCCCGGAAAGAATCTCAAATGGAAATAATCCCCTATGAAAGAATCTCCTATGGAAAAAATCACCAATGGACAAAATCACCTCGGAAAAAATCCCCAAATTAATAAATTATAGATTCACTAAATCTATATTATTTTTAGTAAATTTTACTTCAAATAATGTACTCTTGTTTTTCTCTCTACATACATATTTGTATGTTTATACATACTTTTAATCTTAATCGATGGTTTTTGAATAACTTCTATCATATGATTGAAGAGGAACCACAAGATATTTTAATGCCATATTCACATTGCGTCCGCCACACTCAAAGGGTTTAAAACACTAAAACCACCAAAGATTTTAATTTGTTAGGATTTTGAAAATATGTATGTGCAACATTGTACTCAGGTTCTCATATCAAATGCTTCATAAATTCAACTTTAGGAAATTTTGATCGTTCCCTGGTCAGAAAATTTTGCAAAAATATTAAAAAATGAAAATATTTGAGTTTGACATTGGGTTATCTTAGACTACAACAGTCGAAATTTAGAATAGAATACAGTGAAGACTTCCTCCTGAGTATGCACGTATGTTTGTACATATATGTATGTATATAGAGTGAAAAAATAAGAGTTACATGAATTCAACACAAGCTGACCAGTCTATTTCTATATTATTTGTAGTAAATCTATAATTTATTAATTTGGAGATTTTTCCGATGGTGATTTTGTCCACTGGTGATTTTTTCCATAGGATATTCTTTCATAGGGGATTATTTCCATTGGAGATTCTTTCCGGGAGATATTTTCCGAGGTGATTTTTTCCAGGTGATTTTTTCCGGTAATCGTATAAAATGGGTACAGCTTGTCAAGTTGTTTTCAATGTCCATGCAAAAATGTTAAGTTTAATTATAAACTGCGTATTTATATAACTTTAACAAATTATGTTGATATTTGTAGTACTGTTAATGTTTTACTTGAAAATGAAATAGATAAATATGTATATCAATAAATATGTTGGTACTAATTACTAGTACAGTTTTATAGTAAGAGTTATTTCGGAATTGTGTATTTGAAATTTGCTAATTACATCGATAGTTTTTTGTTACATTATTTTATAGATGATATTTCCTAGAAATAATCACAATCAAGCATTGTCTGTCAACCGCTCAACCTCCATACAACTTCTAATCAATTACTGCAGTAATTGATTAAAAGTTGTATGCAAAATATTTACATATTGAATTTAATCCCTTATGGTGGTTTTATTTGTTACAATTGAATCTTGACTGATGTGTAATTTTCGAATCAGGTAAATACATTAAAATTATTATAATAGCATAAGTTTGTAAAAAACGAAATTTACAACAAAAAACATTAGGTTTGTACGAGTATTTAATTTTTTCGGAAAGTTTTTCATGAGATACTCGAAATTTTTGCATTGGCAGGAATTAAAGATGTTTATTCCTTTGTGGACTTAATCTTAACCGTGACCACGGCGAACCCAGTTACACGAGGAGTTAATTTTATGTCCAAAACTGGGCCGATATTCTGATCAACAAATTGCCTTATCGCTCCAACCACGCGGTTCTGATTTGTTATGATACTCAGATCCAACATTCCTGGAATTATGGCTTCACTTTCTGCCACCTTCGGCCTCTTATGTGTCGAAGATCCTAAAATACAGTATTTTTAGATTCTTGAAAAAATATAAGCACAACTTGTTTATGGAAATATGTAATTTAAAAAAATAAAAATAAACTCGATATGACACCAAATCTTATTTTTTCGACTACAGGGTGCCTAGAATTTAAAAATTTAATATTTGCTCCGAATATCGGCCTCAACTAGACGCGATTTCCAAGTTAAAACGTTCATAAAATACTTAACGCAGAGGAGGTGTCGGCCTCTTGCGTCACGGGTGAACTTGCGCCACATGCAAAAAAGAGGATGTAACCCGCTACGTGGGGAGAGGGAGGGATAAAAAATATCGCGAATTTTGTGTTACCTATTTTATGAACGTTCCCTACTTTAAATAGTATTTATAAATAAAATACATCAAAAGTGAGGTGTGAAAAAAATATGTATGAACAATTTGCCACGTTTTATATTTGCTTTTTTGTGTTACAAAAAAAACTTACCATCTTCTGGATCCCAAGTTCCATTTGGCGCAACCAATACATTAAACGCGGCCTTCCAATCCTCCATCTCTACTTGAACATCCTCCACCCGAATTATTTCCTTGTCAGATAATCCTCTACTCTCCATTAGTCTGGACAGCCCCAAACTGTACGCCTTCTGACATAACGTTTTGACATCGTAAATGCGCTCGTCTTTCCCACCACATCGTCTATAACTTGAGGTCCAGGTAGATTAATCCATTTTGAGGTGCACTCACGCACAACCGTCTGCCGCATATGGGTGGTCATATAGTCCGGAATGTGGAGAAATTTGAAATTCCTAGAGCAATTCCAATAATAATAATTCATTCCAATAAATTGAATGGGTGCCTGCCTTCATTCTTAATCTTCATTCTTTAAGTATTTATGTATATATAATCTTCATTAAAAAGTTAATTAAAAATGATGTTTGATACCTACCCAGAAATAGAATGTTTTTCAGTGCTAGCAACGACAAGGAGATGTTTTCCAGGAATCAGGTGCCTCTCTAAATCCCATACTGCATCTGCGAAATAAATGAAACTAAATATTTCAGACTGGGGAAAAGTTTTGAAATTTTAACCTTTGTCGAATTATTTTTTACAAATTTTATTTTATGTATGTATGAATTCAAGTATGCCCCTAGATCAATTTATTTACTGACCAATTTTGGAATCAACTACAAAATGCAAACCTTTGAAAAAATCAGTTTGTAAGGAAAATTTTTGGAAAATGTCCCAAAGTAAAAATTCGTCCTTAAAGAGGTGATCGGTTTAAAGCTTTGGACTTTAATATGAAATTATTTTGTTATAACTGTAATTATTAAATTCCTCACTCACATATACTTCTCCCGTCAGCTTGGTGGAAAATAATGGCGTAATCGTACTGCTGAGCTTTTTCGAGGGCGTCAGAGAAGAAATTGCAAAGCCCAGTGGAATAGTTCCTCGTGTAGTCACCGTTATGATGGACAGTGATCAAGCCGAAGTTTGTCCCCGCTTCCTGGATGGACAGCTCGTTTTTCAGAGCTTCGACGATCAGTACTGTCGAATCTTTATTAGTTTCATAGAGAAAAATCCCCAGAGAGACTTTGTCCTCTAATTGTCCAGCGTTCTCGTACACGACGCGGTTGCGAAATGGGGTGATGATGTTGTCCGTTAAATACTGTAACTGCAGGTGAAATCCAGCCCCACTTTGGAGTATTGTGGAAAAGGTTGTTATCGGTGGTGGGATGTTGCAGTCGACTACGGGAATTTGTTCTTCTTGAGCGTTTTGCAAGTTGGAGTCAAAGTTGGGAGGGTGGAGGGACATTTTTTGGTTTTGTGTTTATGTATTTATTATTGCAAATTTAGTGTGAGTCTGGATTGGGTAATTATTTATGTATGAGATTTAAGTTATAGCTTAGCTAATATTTTACAAGCAAGCTAAAGATATGTAAGTGTGACCCAGTGAAAGATGATTTGATTTATACTAACAAGGACGTATGAATGTGTTTAACAGTTGTTTAATATTTTCAGGGAAATGCATAAGTGGGATGGAAATCGAAATATCAGTAATGTAAATACGTACACGCGTACTTGTATATATCGAGTGTAACATAGTAAAAGGGGTCCTTGAGGGAAACCCGACCCTTTCAAGCATATACATACATACGTATGTAGGATGTACTGCTGTACATAAGTATTTATGTATGCATGTACGTACGTACATATGTATGTAAATATAATCGTTCCGTGTTTAAGCAAATGTATGTATAAAATGAGTGCCTATCCAGCCGATAAATACCATTGCCCATGTTGGATGATCTGTCGACACAAAAGTTGATTTCATATACATATGTACATGATTTAAACCAATTATCTGAATTGAGCATGAGTTTTACGACCAATTAATCATAAACGAAACATATTGACAATTTACTACTTGAAAAGTATCTCAGAAAAAATAGGATTTCATTCCAGATTACATTCATAAACATTATTTATTTATTTCTTGTTTAGTTCATGAACCTTATCCTTTTTCGAATTCTTTAATTGTAGGTGAATTCCACTCTTAACTAAACAATAGTCTCCTCGACAGAGACAGGCCTTCACAGAGTCTATTCCATTCCGTTTTAAATTGACACACTGTCCAAAAATTAATTCTTCCCTTTGATTATCATGCAGACCGGAATGATGGCACGAGTAAAGTTCCGTGTTTAATTTTCCTCCTGAAAACGGTAGTCCTTCCGATACAGATTGCCAGCAACCTTAACATATACGTACATAAAAACAGATAATCATGCAAATAATTTTAAAATACTTGATATTTTATTAAGTATTTGCACCTTTGCTCTCAGGTGGACAATCCACTGAGAAACTTCTCTTCCTCTCTGCGTCACTAACTTTATGAAAATCGTCACAGTTTCCAAAATCTGTCCAGTTGAGCATTGTTCCGTTGGTGAGCACTCCCTTTTCACAAGTGTAACATTTCAGACCTTTAAAATCGCAAAAATTTGCATTTTGTCCCGGTGGAGTGAAATATTTACTAAATTTATGTATTCACCTGTACTCTGATCAGTTACGAAAGCTACGAATAGAATTCCTGCAAGTAATTTCATGGCTGATAAAAAATAAGTATATTTTTTTACGGTTAACAGAAGCCAAACATTTAATTATATTCCGTATGTAAGATGATAATATGCTATTTATCAAGCTGAAATTTTAATTGAGGAAATTTGACATTGAGTGTATCAGATTCAATGCCATTAGTTAAATAAAACCTGTGGTTACGAGATAAACATAGTTTTACTATTCTCATGTCAAGCATATAAAGTAATATAAAGCGACAGATCACGAACCGGATGTGCTTTCACATTTATTTTATTACATGCATAGCATAAATATGGCACGATATAAATACATACATACATATGCATGCAAATAAGTGCATAAACACATACTTATTACGCGTATAAGAGATATCATGGATTTTCCAATTTACATGAGACTCAAATACTTATTTTATTATATTGTTGCATTATCACAAAGTATACATACACATATTTATTAAATTAAATTACACCCATTCAGTGTATGCAAACATTATATTTTATTCCTTTACATATTCAAAGTCATGTTAAGTAAGGTAAATGTTGAATGAGTATAGAATTAGGCATATTATTGATACGAATGGATTAAAAAAATTATAGTTCTCATCAAAATTCCACTTTGCTTCGTTAAGTTAGATAAATAAAATTCAATATTAAAATATAAACTGTTATGATATTCTAGTAACGTCACATAACAACTTAAATAACTATTGAATGTAGCGTCATTGCTATTAAAACATGCATTCGTTGTTTAATTAGATTATTTCTGAATGACGGGGAAAAGGGGAAAACTTTACTATATAAATATATATATAAATATATATATTTATCTCTTTTGCGTGGAATGGAATTTTGATCCAATTGACGTATTTAAAATAATCGTACCCAGTAACCAAGTCCAAAGATTGTGCTTTTTCAACCAAACACAAATAGACTTTGTGCATCAACTTAACTTATGTAGTCGAAACTCTAATCCAGTTGAGAGAAAGGATTATGAAAGGATTACCTGTTTTGTATCAATGTATCGGTTGATGGATTTATGTAAAAGTTTCAGATAAATTTTACACGACGGGCAAGCCTTTCATATCAATAAACGGATTTGTGCAACAGTAAATAAATATTTGTGGCGTTCCTCCTTGCCAAAGAAATATTTGTATACAATGCTCATAAATCATTCCGCAACTGCATTAGACCGGAAAAAATTATGCAAGTATCAGGGTTTGGCTTGGATATCGTCAAAATCAGTGGGAAAATGGCAAAAAATTGGAAATGACATCTTGTTATTTAAGATACCTCAGGACGATCAAAATCCAAATTATTTGTATCCAATCCGATCCGACAACAACCCTACAACAACCCTACTTTTGACAATTGTTTAATACCAAAAATTAGTTTTGGACAACAAAATCGAACACTAGCATTAGAACATGACAATAATCTCTTCAAATTTATCCATGATTTGGTTACTCTTTTTTCATTAATCTGTGACAAATTAACCCCAAAAGCCTTCTGTACATACATGTCTATCAACTCATCCAAATTGTTGGATTAAACATTTTACATAACGAATTCCAATAGTGATAAACTATTTTAAGTCGGGTCATTTTTTCCCAAGGTCCAATACGCAGTTATGCAGGACTTCTGTGCGGTATAAAAAGCAGAGGAAGGAGATTAATTTAGTATCCAGGAGCATTTCAAAACCAATAAAATTCAACAGTACAACTTGACATTGCAAAATGCAGAAACTTTTCGCCATTATTTTGACCCTCATCGCGGCCGCAAAGGCTGGAGTTGTTGACCCAGGTAAAAAATAACTATGTGGTACCTTTAAAGCGAAACAATTTGAATCTGTTTTTTACTAATTGACAACTTCATCATTATGTATTTGCAGTCACGCGATGTGGAGGCGTAGGGACCCAACTTCAGCTCAGAATCAGCGATTGCAGCGGACGTTGTAGCCTGAGACCTGGAACTGTGTACGATTGTGAGAATGACTTTATGCCAAGTAAGGAATTTCAGAAATTTTGAATTCATTAATTGCAAATTCTCATTTTGTCGATCTAAATATCTAAATTCCAGGCTCCTCTTCTCCCTCGCTTGACCTTCGTGTCGAAATTTGCATGAATGCTGGCTTCTGTACGGTAATTATCAACACTGTCCTCCCCAACTCTTCCGTGCAGCCAGGATTCATTTACACAGCCAAGTACACCGTCGTACCGAATGATGTCCTTGCTGGCCAAGTGGTCGAATTCCGTGCAAGCATATTGCACTCTGATAACTTGAGGGTCGAAGTTTGTGTCGCTGCTGACGTCGACATTCTTCCACTTATTAAGTAGAAAATTTCTGTGCAATAAAATGTGTGCTAGTATAATTCTATAATTATCGAGTTTAAATTGATTCGAAATAAACATGATTGATCAGCCTTATAATTTAAAAACTCGGGAGGAGAAGCGACTATTTTCTATGAAAAATACACGGGCAAATATATGAGTCACATAAGGCATGTTTAATTGACCATACAAACCAGAATCAATAAATATGATAAGTAAGTCACATATTCCTTGTCACGACCATAATTATTTGGACCTTACCCTGACCTTAAAAATCTGTGAATACTTCTAGCTTAAATAAATAATTTTGAACAACTTCGCCTTGTTTTGACAAGTCGACAAAATCCTATTTGAACAATTTTAGATACTTATGTATTTAGTTGTTAGTTGTCTCTTTGAACTTTTACGGACTAATTTTATCTACCGAAAACCTATCCAAACCTTATTATTCCTCACTTAGGAATCTGCAGAATCCTACCCTCATATATGTATATACTGTATAAAAAGTTTCACAATTTTATGCAGTGCGATTTTGAAACGAGATCGAATAACTTTAAATTTCTGTAAAACTTTGTTTAACAAGATTTTTATAAATAGGTGTAACTTAACCTCTAGAGATAGAAACTCTAGCGAACTCGATACCATAAAGAATACCCACATGAAAAATAACATGCGTAAACTGTCCAGTTCGATCAACAGTTTCCTAAATAATTCTTCCGAAGAAATTTCAAAAAATACAACTTTTCCCCAAAGCATGTGAGCCTTGGCTCTTAAAAAATGCCAATTCCAAAACACACTATCCCAATACCAAATAAATCCACCGGCCATCAATTGTTTATGAACTTTACGCATTTCTCCCAGTAATCTCGTGCTGTATAGAAAATATACAGGTCGAACATTTCCTAACGTCACGAAATCGCAATAAATCTCCTGACCCCTTTTAAATTCCTCTGCCGTCCCCGTCATTTGCATTCTACGAATCTTAAACATCTCGCTATTTCCTAGTTTCGACTGCATGAAATGACTTGCAAACTGCGTTTCTCTATTCCCCCGCCTTAATTCATCAATGACATGAGATAGATCAACAAATGTGGAGTTTAGTTTGTGCAGGATTCCATACTTTCGAAATTCTTCTTTGACATCGTGGATCGTTTTAATGTCAGGAGATCGAGGATTTCCTGCATAATCAAAGTCAACTTTATACCCAGAATTTACAAGGTCTCCAACATGCCGAAATTTTATTGGAGGCGTGGGAGCAATGAGTCTTCCCGATATGAATGTTTCATAAGCACAGAGAAGAACTAGGCTGATGAATCCCGGAATTATATTTCCCCCATTAAAATTTCGGATCGGTTGTCTCATAAGGATTGAAATTTGAAAGAAAATTTGAAACTCGAGATTTTCCCGGGTGAAAATTTCGTCCTTGATTCCTTCGGCAATCCAAGAAATCAACGCAATTATAGAGAAAGATAGAAACGTTGCGATCCACACGAATTTCTCGTACGGAGTGAACCACACGATCCAGTCTTTGTTAATAGGAAATTCTTTTTTGGAGTAGATTAGAATGATTTGGCATTCAGAAAATTCCACGAGGGAAATTACGTCGACTTTCGGAACGCTTTTGAAAGTCGCGTAACCAATTTCTTCGAACATCGGAGATTGAGTTGCTGTGAAGTTGAAGATATTTGCTTGCATGCTAATGACCGAATTGTGTGCGGTACATGGTGGGACGATAGGACTCCACATTTTCGGTTTTAATGTGCAAGGTATAGTAGGATTCCGTAGGTAAATGTGTCTTTTATAGGGCGGAGTGGAAAACTCTGTGAGATGTAGAGCTAAAGAAGTTAGCGCGACGTTTGAAGGAAATTCATGCAATACGGAAGCTTTACCAACGATTAAAAATTGGTATATGTTTGGGCGTTCTTTGAATGTAAAGTACAGTTTGCATTTTATCATGAAAAACGCACTAATGGGCTTGTAACTAGCAAGATCTTGTGAAAAGTGAAAAAATGTGGTGGAAAATGAAGAAACCATTTGAATTTGGAAAGGTTTATAAAAATCCGCGTGAGAATCGTGATTCCCTTGAAAGGCGTGGATTGCATATAAATACGAAGAAAACTGGAGTTTCTCCAAAAGTTGTACGGAACGGTTAGAGTTTGAATATATTTCCCAAGAAATTATCATTTTTCCATGGAATTTTGGATTGTTGTAAAATTGGATGAAATTATAAGAACCTGGTTCGTAAGATGGTAGTTGCGTCGAGTAGAAATGAACGCTCCAAGTTCTCACTTTAGGCGTGAAAAGTACAATGATAAAGAAGAAAGTGTAGAAAATGGGGGACATTTTGTGTTGTTGAGAGAAATGTTTAGGGTTTGATGTACCTGAAAATAGAAAATATGAGATGAATTATTGTGTGGGCCACGTAGACCACCGGGATGGGATGAATACATAATACTAAATAGGTACGAGGACGAATAACAGGATGTTAAATAATTGTAAGCATTAATATTAATTGCGCACATACATAAATATATGTAGAGGTTCTGAAATTTTGGCTTCATCGTTATTGCGAAATAAATATTACCAACGCATGAATTGTACATGTATATACAAATCTATATATTTTAACGGTCACTTTCAGTATGTACAGTATGTAACTTATTTAATGCTACGATTTTTAATTTAAAATTCAACTTCAATTTTCTCGAGAACAGGTTGATATTTCAAAATTGTTTTCATACCAATTCTTCACCATATATTGGACTACATTGAGGCAAATTTTCAAAGGAATGGAGATGAAACTGTTGAATCCACAAATATTTTAATATCAAAATTTTGCGAATTGCACGTTACATAATTAATGCTACGGCGGTATGAGCGGTTCAATATTTCGTCAGACCCGAATAACCGATTGAAATCGTTTGGGCATCTAATCCACAAATCCTTCGGTTACGCTATGGTCGATGTTTGTTAACTTTTCTGTGATGACGGGTGTGCCGGGGAGCCGTGCTTGTCAGTTTTAGTGTTGTCACCAGACGCTGCAGAATTTTTGGGTTATGGTCGATCGAGTTGAGGTCAAGAAATTTGAAATTCAGTCCAAAACCTTTGTATCATTGTCCTTGATGCATTTTGAGATGATTTTTGTAATATTTGTCTAATATTCGACGTTTCTGAAAATAAATCTCTGACCAAAGTCTGTCTTTGTTGCAAATTGGCCAATATTTATTTCTAACAAATCAAGGTAAACCTCTTTGGTCATGATCCCAGCGACGCACATCAATCTTGCTACCCTGAAGCAACATAAACTGCCCCAAAACATTATCTCCCTGCAAGATTTCGAAAGTTTCTCATCAGGATTTGGCGGTACAAATAGCCTAGATTTCCTTATCTCTGCTATGTTTGATAGCTTGTCTCAGAAATCAATTTCTTAAGACTTATTTGGGCTCCTTCCGCACTCTTATCGTTCCATCTGAGCTAAGAAGTTGAATTAGGGTCCAATCTGAGAACAAAAATTGTTTCCGGTAGCCATGGGATAATCTTTTCTTTACATTGCCCACGCAAAGCGTTTCTTGTGATTATTCGCTAAGGTGTATGGTGTGGAATTTGGAATTTCCCCAGATATTCCTGCGAATATCAGCCTATGTCTAATCATTCATATGTGTACAGCAGTAAAACGGTCACTTTGAACATCTTTCACAATTTCTGGCGCGGACAGACAAGCATCATTGTCACTGTTTTTACAATCCCCGCGTGCGGGTGTGGTGTTTTACTGGGTTTAAGACCCTGACGGTTACAATTCGCTACAGGTCCTGTAGTTTTCCTTTCTCCGGTGAGCCTTAGAACAGATCCCGCGTGTATTTTAAATTGTTTCCAAAGTTTCCTTAAAGTTAGGCGTTATTAATGGGAGGAGGTCACTTTCCCAATATTTTTATACTGAAAACGGTGTCCTTTGTTATTTATTTATTTTAATTCGGCAGATTATTTTCATTTGTAGCAGAAATACGACAGAATTGTTTATCCGTTCGAAATTCTGCTCTGTATTTAGGAAAGACTGCAAATTTGTACTGGTTGTGTATCGTAGCATTAATTATGTAACGTGCAATTCGCAATATTTTGACATTGAAATATTTGTGTATTCTACAGTTTTATCTCCATCCCTCTGAAAATTTTCCTCAATGCAGTCCAATATATGGTGAAGAATTGGTATGAAAACAATTTTGAAATATCAACCTGTTCTTGGGAAAATTGAAGTTGAATTTGAAATTAAAAATCGTAGCATTAAATAAGTTACATACTGTATGTAAAGAAAATAATTGTCATTGTATTGTTATTGATTCGTTATTTAATGCTAATGTTGTAACCTAACCTATAATTAAGGTTAATGATTGTAGCCTTATGGGGGTATTGCCGAAAAGGTTCTAATAAACCCAAATACATAAGTACATTCAACAATCCACTGGGAAACTTTTTTCTTCTTACCAGGGACACTATTAATGTGTATCCCCGACGTAGCAATCCCACTACATGCGATCGATACATACATTCTCAATTATAGTCCAAGGATGTAACAAAATTTCCGTGTAAAAATAACATTTGGTTACACTGTGACCATTTTGGTGACGAGCGGAGGGCAGCTCTTTTGCTGATGGAGGGGTGTGGTTGACGATGCGGTCACTCGCATAATGCGTGCAGGTTTTCAAGCAGGTAAGGAAAACCCCGGGTTTTGCTATTGAAAACCCATACCCAGGGGTTTTACCTGGGTTTTGCTGGTATTCGGGGTTTTCGAGGAAAACGGTGTCACTACCTTATGTATTAAGTTTTGAAAAAAGTCTGCTTTTTCAGCAATTTCGCAACAAAACTACTTATTAATTCAATTTAATAATTTAACTAATTAAATTGTAGAATTGCTAGTAAAGCCCTGTTACCATACTTTATGGAATTTGAAAACCCCGACTACCCGTGGGTATTGCTCATTTTTGCTACCCCAAAACCCACCAAAACCCGCAAATCCCCAATACCCCAAAAACCCGGGGTAGCATACCCTGTTTTCAAGTGAGCCTTTTGTGTTTACTTTGGCACATGCACAATTGTATCCCAATCATATAGGATTTATTAATTAATTACAATTAAATAAAGCAAAAAAAAATTTGGACCCAACAAAAAATATCACAATCAAAAAGCTGATAGTGCTGATATTGCCGACAAAGTATTCTATTTATCAAGATTTAATTAATAATTCACTACAGGCCTGATCGATGCAGTCTTCCTGGGTCCGCATCTTATACGTTTGTGCGTAGCGTTCCTGAAGAAAAATATTCAAAACCGAAAATTGAATGTTTTTTGTTTGCAGATGTGTGTCCAATATATGACACCACAAAACATAGTTTCTAACCGTAACATAAACCTACATATGAGCACACTTTTCAGATCGAAACTACCGAGGACATTGTGTAATATGCAATCAAACCTAGTAGCATCATCCCTGTGCCTCTATGGATGTAAAAGTACGAACCGGCCCAAATCTTGAGAGGTCTACAACTACGCAGCTGCCGTTTGCTATAACTTACACCACCTTGTAATCCTAATATTCTCAGAGAATCAACCGACTTCTTTATCACATCCGCCCCTAAGGGAAATGCTATCAGAATAAACCCAAAGATTAATGCATTGAGCATCATCTCTAAAATCACCACTACGTATGATATATTCCCAGTCATTTTTATGAGCATATATCCCATTATAACAGCACCTATTACCACTTCTAAAGACAAAACAGGTAGAACGTACCAGAAAACTATGTTCGTGACATGAGTTATTATCTGGAGTTGACGATAAGTCTGTACGTCTGTGGCAAATTTACAAATACTGGATTGTTTACTACAAGTTGAAGACGGTACCCTCTCCAGCGTCTCCAATATCAGTAGGATTATATTAACACCTATAACCCCAAATCCAAATATTACTATGGCAGTGTGAAGTGCCACGCAAAAGATGACCATAGCCCTGATAAATAACTGCAATTTTGAGGAGATAATAGTAACTTTGCGAAGCCAGAAGTAGGTAGGGTCCAATGTTTGATCTAAAATTACAGTACCACAAGCGCCCACGGGCATGGTAATAATAGGGCTGATAAGTCCATGGAGAAAAATACCGACCAGATTGGTCGATTCTTTAAAGGTTGCTGCAAATAAAAATACGTATGTAATGCAATATCCACATTTGGCAAGGAGCCGGGGGTCTCGCAATGTGAATTCTGTCCTATCGTTCATACTGTCCCCTTTTCCAGGATGTTGGCCAGAAAGCACATAATCCGTGGAAGATCATTCAACAGGCGAGAAAACAAATGACTGAACAACGTGATACAAACAACATCGAAACTTTTTGGAAACTATTTACCATAAATCGACAGGACAGAATTCGGGTATTACGAGTACAGCAGTATTTACTAATCTGCTGTCTAGTTCGCGGGACGGGCGGAGGATTTAATTCAAACAATTTTGGGAGCCTCACGTCCGGTTCAAGAGTCTAGTTTAAACAGTATTTATGAGTTACCACTAATGGTCAACAGATTTCCAATCACGAAGCATAGTTCATCAGCACGGAAATTATAGGTGGAGCAAATTGTTGTACAAAGTGTGACAATAACACATTCTATTACCAGGATGAGACACACTGCCACAGAAATGTCAATATCTTTCTCGTGTGAGAGTAATTGTTGGAATAAGATTAAGTACAAGTTGGTTGCTGTCATGACAATAAGGAAGGCCAGAGCGTACCACGGAATTAGTTTTGATTTTACCGGAGAAGCGGTGGGTTTCCATGAGGTCCTGTTAAAAGTTAGTGGCTGGGGGTATAGTGACTCACTTAATTTTGCGTAGCGTTTCAAAGCCTCGAATGGAGTAAGGGTTTGGAGGAGGGCAAAATTAATTTGCGGTAGTCGCTTTGATAAAGACTGCATGCTGGATAAATTCTAAACCTGTTCATAGAGTGGAATTCTTTGCAAACGATAAGGTAAAACTGTCTAACCAAATGTAGGACAAGCTGTAGACTTTCTTTGTCTGAATGACGCTATGATACAATTTAAAATTTGATTTATTAGTTCCCGATTTTCAAGTTGCTTTTGATTTTAACTTATTATGCTCTATATTGCTATATTACTGCACTATGTAAAAATATGTAGCCAGTTTGACAATTATGTGTATCCACAACTCGCCAATTACAGGTATAATTTACAGCTTCACCTCATTGCAACAATTTAAATACATAAATTATAACATGGCCAAAATATTTTAACCTGTGGACTGGAAACGGACGGATCAGCTAGATTGATGTACTTTTATCATCAAATACATAACTTCCTGTTTATGTAATGCCACAAAATATTAGAAAATTTAGTTAAATGCTGGTATTTTTACGAACAAAATCCTGCATTTAACTTAAATGTTTTTTTAATGGGTTTGTTGAAATTCGTCTGGTACAGTCATATTGGTTATAACCCTTCTGCCCAAAAAGTCCTGTTTTGATGGGCAAATGGAGCGTGCACACGCTCTTCCCTACTTTTGCACGGTTTCATGTGAAATTTTAAACTTTGACCTAGAGATGCGAAATTTGGCATGCACATGCACCAAGATATGCTACTCATAATATAACATCAATTCCCGTTCCGTTCGCTATAAATTTTTCAGGAAAAATCAAAAACCAAATGTCACCCCTATTCCGTTTGGTTTTTGATGTTTCCTGAAAAATTTATAGCGAACGGAACGGGAATTGATGTTATATTATGAGTAGCATATCTTGGTGCATGTGCATGCCAAATTTCGCATCTCTAGGACAAAGTTTAAAATTTCACATGAAACCGTGCAAAAGTAGGGAAGAGCGTGTGCACGCTCCATTTGCCCATCAAAACAGGACTTTTTGGGCAGAAAGATTATAACCAATATGACTGTATTACTGAGAATTTCTAATTCTACTGGTTGGCCTCTTGCAATTAGGACAATTTGTGCGAAAAGGGATACTTACATACATAGGTACTCGCACTTATTTAACTGATATTAAATCATTACTGTTCGGAGTACATATTGCCGATAACAGGCATTACCGTTTAGTAATGTTGTGGTAATGACAAATTTTCCACTCAGAAAGAATACAAACTATTATACTACCAATCTGGTACAGAGTTGTTACCAACCCAATACGGTGTATTTATATGACTACCAGCTTTTTAACTGTTCAAGGTTACCTATCATTACTTAAATATTTCAATCATTTGTATTGATTGATCAAGAGTCAACTTTTATGCATATCATTTCTGCAACTTCATGACTTGTCTAAAGTTATGAAAAAGTTTAAAGATACTTACGTGCATAAATTACAGATGATCACAGATCCTTATTGGACAATTTTAAAAATCACCCTAAAATTCTAATCGGCCTAGATGAATTTGTTTCGCTTGCTCAATGTGTTCCCCAGACCTTTGGCTACACAGCTTGCATTACTAATTAATTAATTTTCCTATATTTTCGACCGCAATCTTCTTCAACTCCTCATGCAAGTGGTTGTCATACATGTTTGTGTGTTGGGGTATATTAATTGTTAGAAATGTCGGCCCAAATATTCTTAATTCTGCCCACATACAGCGTACAGATAAGTATTTATCGTGTTTGCTTTAAATATTGTCCTTTCATCTTCGTCCTTTCATTCCCCAGATTGTTGTAAACGGAAAAAGCAAATTAGATACTACATAGGTTTAGCGAGGATATTCTTGTTCATATTCTTATTAATAGCGAAAAATAGATTAATCATTCCAATCCTGAAGAATCATAGCGGCCGCCTTTTCCCCAATCATTATAGTTGGTGCGTTTGTATTAGCATTGGTCAGTTGCGGCATGAATCATGCCGCATGATCGATGCATCCGCTACTCGTAGTCGTGAAACGTTAATTACTCTGAAACAATGGCAGGAGTTTATGATACGAATTTTTTTAAATCGTCAATTTCATAATCAACAGTCAAAGACAAACCATAAACAAGAGTCCACAACAGCCATTGGATCATCCCTACTTCCCATTTTACATGTGGAAGCATAGTGCCAATTTGTTCCTATAAAATGCATACAATTTTTAATACTTATACGCTAGGAGTTTTGAACAGAAATTTGCAAACCGGAATTCCTTCAAATTTTCAATTACCGGTAAACTGACGCAAAAAACATCTGAAATAATCGTCACTTTTTAAACTGTGCGATTCACATCCTGGAAAATGGGTGTTTATCAAGGTTACATTAAATCTCTGCCAGGCTTTAGTTTGCTCGTAGAACTTTACAAGAAATTGACACGCTGAAATTAAACAAACAAATACAAATTCATAATTTGTTAATTCAAAAAATATCTGTAGAACTTGATTTTGAATTTAAAATTTCTGAGGAATCAAAATCCTTAATCACCTTTTACCATGACCTCAATGTCGTCAGGATGCGAGAAACAGTTGGGCTCGATTATCGGGTGGTCGAACGGATCATTGCTTCTTAAAGTGATTGATCCCCTACTCTTTGGTAATTCCTGGTTAATCGCGACATACACGGCATCCATTCCAATCACATTTTTGAGATATTTCTGCATTATATCGCGTCTAACATTTTTGGTAAAAGTGAACATTGACGGAGACCCTTGTCCGACTCCATTGGCGATTTGAAAGAGACCAATATTTGGCCAGGATGGGTTTCCGTCGGTGCTAATAAATCCGGCAGCTGTCATCATCCCGGGTGAAGAGAAAGGACCTAAGGAATAAATAAAAACAATGAAAACATATATCTTTGCAGTAAAATTTTTGAGAAAATTATTCAGAACTGGAAACTCTATGGAATATTACAACACCAAAATTTTGACGGTTTACATTTCCGAAACACGGACCTGAATTATCCTCCTGGTATTGTGAAAATGATTCTGCAGATAAGTTTCGTTCTGGAATGAATGAGATGGATTCATTCAAGACGAATGGTCCAATTAATGCACCGGTGTGATCGGTAAAGTGTTGTCCAACTCCAGGTAAATCTACTTTCGGGGCAATCTAAATCAATTCTTTTAAATTACAAAATTTAAAATTTCAACAATTATTTGAGAATTTTTGAAAATACTCGCCTGAACATCACGCAAATGTTGGGCTGGCCCGATTCCGGAGAGCATTAAAATTTGGGGAGACCCGATGGCCCCGGCGGAAATGATAACCTCATTCCGCGCCAGGATAGTTACTTCTTTACCATGCTTGACGTACGTTACCCCAGTCGCGGTGTTATTCGAATCTAGGTTTACCTGAGATGAATTAACATCTGAATTATCTCAAATTCATCGAGATTTTCGATTGCAAATTGAAGCTTACCCTTGTCACGTGAGCGTATCGAATAACTTTTAAATTTTCCCGGTTTAAAGCCGGCTTGATAAACGTGTCATACACACTGCAGCGCTTCCCATTGCCTATTGTATTTTGGAGTTGGGAAAACCCTGCAAGATCAAAAATGCTGAATGATTTTTAGATGCTAGAAATTTTTCAAAATGTTACCCTCTGCCTGCATAGCGTTTGGGTCGCGTATTTCGAATCCCAGTTCTTTCGCGGCTTCTAAGAATTGTTTCTCTAATGGGGCAAACTTCGACGTGGTGACCGCTAGAGGTCCTTCAGTTCCACGGAAGGTATCTGTGACAAGTTCTATTAGTTAAGCATTTATAACTTTTTTTAAATTGATTGAACTTTTAATTACCATCTTTAAAGTTTCCTTGGTAGTTTTCAGATTTCTTAAAATATGGCAAAAGATTTACATAACTCCAATCCGCATCTTCAGTTAAATTAGCCCAGTTGTCAAAATCGTTGGGATTTCCTCTCATGTAAGCCATGTAGTTAAGATTACTCGTTCCTCCGAGAGATTTACCACGATTGAAGATAACAGACTGAAAATTTATGAGATTTCCTGATCTATAATTTAATTAATAATTTTTGCAAACGGACTTAAAAATATGGCGTATTTAGGTTATCTTTTAAAGCCAGACACGAATTCTTCTGCGGTTCGGTCTTATACATCCAATCCGTTTCAGGTTGATTTAAATTATGCGCCATAAAATAAGGAATGCTGTTAAGTTGTGAGGGATCACCTCCAGCCTCAAGTAAAGCAACTAATTAAAAACGCAGCATACAAGATGATATTGAAATTTGCAAATATATTTCTTAAGGCTTACCCTCAAGCTCGGAGGAGTGAGTTGGGTTTGGGGCAATATCCCAGTTTCAACCTTCTCTCTCGCTTTGCGTAATGCCTTGTAGTGCCTATCTCGAAACTTCGCATCGACCCTGTGGGGGGGAGGAGACATCCTCAGGGTTCATAATAGTGGAATATGTTGCACTCGTCTTTCTGCGTCTGATGGTATTTTTTTCAAATTTTTTGGACTCGCCCGAAGGGCTGCAAATGGTTTACCAGTCTACATAGGATTACATTACTTGATGGTAAACCATTTGCAGCCCTTCGCACGAGTCCAAAAAATTTGAAAAAATACCATCAGACGCAGAAAGACGAAAGCAACATATTCCACTATTATGAACCCTGAGGTCGTCTCCTCCCCCCCACAGGGTCGATGCGAAGTTTCGAGATAGGCACTACAAGGCATTACGCAAAGCGAGAGAGAAGGTTGAAACTGGGATATTGCCCCAAACCCAACTCACTCCTCCGAGCTTGAGGGTAAGCCTTAAATTCAAATATTTAACAAATAAGTGCTTATCTACCTCGAAGCTTCCCACTTTCGGATAAACGATTAGCAATTACACCCCCGGCCGAGCCTGATCCAACTACAATTAAATAAGATAATTGTATATGGACCCAAAGTTCATAACCATTTACGTATTAAAATCTTATAATCAACTTTATACATCTGATTGATTACGCAGCTACCAAAATTTTTAATTTATTAGGTTTGCCAAGAGTGAGATGTGACAAAAATTAAAAAAAACTATAATTATATGCCATCGATCATAAATTTATTGACTTGAATTGACTTCCCACAATATCCTTCCAAGGTTTTTAGGGTTCTTCTACGATTTCACTTTCAAGTCTTTTGCTTACCCACGACAAAATCGAATATTTCCACTTCTGTCGCCATACTCTTGTCATGACTTGCAACGATGTCCTCCATTACGTTGGTTGCTGAAAGTATGCTTGTAATCGCGGTTATCAATGGAGCCATGTAAGTTACGGATATGTTGAAAAGTTGACCCGGCAACAAAGCGGAATCCATATTGTTAAGATTTTAATTCGGCTTGATTTTAGATATACAAATTTAATTGAAAAAAATCCAGCTTAGAACTTTTAGTGGTAAGATGGTGATTGAGACTGAATTATAAAAGTGACTTTCCATGTATGTTGTTTCTGCTTATCGCGGGGGTGTAAAATTGATAAGGAAATTTGTTAATTTAAAGATAACTTGCTAATTGTCGTAATTTGTCAATCACTGAACTATCTTGTAGAAGGAAAATCCGTACCAGCAATTCTATTTGCATAATATGTATTGCATTTGTCAATGCAAATGAGGATGAAGTAGTACCAACTTTTTCTAAGGTGAGACAAAAAATATCTTAGCAACGGATCCTCTAAATCTAGAAGCTTGTTGCGTCCTACAGCTCGCGGGGCACTTTAAATAAGTGGAGAGATTAATTACTTAATCCGATTTAAAAGGGTTTTTGGATCAGACCATCGCATATACAATTTCAATGAAAGGAAGTTGTTTTTTTATTGTCCTTAAAGCTGCGAATTTTTCGTAATTAGAATCAGAAAAAACTATTAACCACCATTTTATCTTTGCAAATATAAAATATCGATTGATGAAAAAATGAGCGACTTTTCCTGCACACTGTGTGCAAATTATGACACTGTTATATACATATATTTGTATATATACAGTGTATACATATATATATATAAATATGTACATTTGCTGATCCAAGCATTTCCGTATTTGTTGTCTAACATGCCAAATTTAAGGGGATGGAAAATTGCAGAAGTACATAATCAAACCTAAGACCGTATTCTTTATCAAGCTCTGAATAGCAAGGGACATAACAATTCCATATCACGTTTATTATCTTAATACAACTTCTTCTGTGACACGTTGAAAGTAAATGCTAACGACTTGTTAATACACAAATCATGTAGTAATGGTGCATTATTATGTTTATGTATGTATGTATGCATGTGCAATTGCAAATAAGATCATTACCATGTAAATGAGGCGTTAACGACATTCTCGGTTCAAATGTCATATTAGGATAATTGACATGACCTTGACAAACAAATCCTTCCACGGCGACACTATTTTCAATTGGGTTAGATCAGGTTGACCTTGATAGTAAATATTTCCCGAAGCATTTTATTTATTATTATTGAGTAAATATTGAGCAAACTGTGTCCAGTTTTATTTGCGATTCCGCACGATACATAGAATACATAAAATGGAAAATCTGAATGGCACCGTGCTCAGATTAGTTACCAATGTACGGTTACTTTCCAAACATGTTATTTATTTTTTAGCCTGAAATACTTACTTTTTAGTTTTAAATAGCACTTTTTAAGATATTTTAATTTATGAATGCAGGAAATTGAATCGGTGAGTGGAGTCGTTGATGAAAAAACTGGAGTTTTAACAGGTCAAGGAATTGTAGAATGCATTATTAGAGACTTGCAGCATCACGTTAATTTCAGGTATATACAAATGTATTTACAATGCTTTATAATAAGTTTTCATAATATGGAAATCCCTTAGAAAATTTCTGAAGCTTTTGAGTGATTTGTACGCGTCCACGTCTCGCAATAGAAGACGTGACGTGACGTGAATTGCCCTAACTTCTTTGTTAAACATTGTAAATACGGTTCTATTTGTTATGCATTTTTGTAATCCGTGTATTTAATAACGTTAAGTCTATACACATACATGGGAAAAATGTTTATTATACGTGAAACTAAATAAATTAAATATATATATAGGTAATCATTAATGAATTTCAGAGTTACGCTGTTGACCCTGAGAAATCAGGATCCTTCAAGTCCTGCATATTTTCAAAACGGAATAGGAAAAGTTTTACGTGATGGAGATGCTGATGTGGGAATTGGCTATTTTTTCGTAACTCAGCCCAGAGTTCGAATTTCATCACCATTAACACCCATATTTACGGATAGGTGAATTTATTTAACAAGAAATGAGGTGAATAATCCTAAATATTTGAAATTATTGTTTTCAGTTTAGTCGCTCTCTTTGTCCAGCCGGAGTCGCACATTGTGCGAAATATTTTTGTGGATTGTTTCCAATGGCCAGCATTCTTATGTTCGGGAGTATTATTGTTTTTAATTTGTCTTGTTTCAAGAAGATTGAACGTTTCGAAAACTTTATTAAGCGCGTTTAAAAATTTGTTCGACACGGCGTTCAACACGATCTCTCTAGTCGCACAGTCAGGTGAGGTATATAATTCTCTCAAAATCCGTTTCATACTAAAAAAATTCATGCTGAAATCCTATTTTCTACCGTCAGTCTGGTTCAAGTGCCGGGGGATTGGAACTTAGTACCTGGGTAACGTCACCCAAAAGTTCCGATACCCTGGACTTTTTAGTTATGCAAGTTACAGGGAAACGGAACCCACTTGTCGCAGGATTTAGCGGGCCTCGATTCCCCGGTACCCTCTTACACAAAAGTTACGATTCCCCGGAACCCAAGATTTTTCTTCCATTTTTCCTAAAGTGGATAAATTTCCGCAGAAAATTTGAGTTATCTCAAATTAACCTCCCACAAATGAAGAACATTGGATAAAAAAATTAGAATTTTTTATAGTGGCGTTTTTCCTAAAATCACAAATATCTGACAAATTTGAGGAGCGGCAAGCTTAAAAAGGTACGGGAAATCGTCACCCAACAATTATTTTCTAGGAAAAATACAGTTATTTTGCAGTTATTGTTACAATTACTACGTTATTTTTATGTTACAATTATTTTCCCCTGAAAATAACTGTATTTTTCCCAGAAAATAATTGTTGGGTGACGATTCCCCGTACCTTTTTAAGCTTGCCGCTCCTCAAATTTGTCAGATATTTGTGATTTTAGGAAAAACGCCACTATAAAAAATTCTAATTTTTTTATCCAATGTTCTTCATTTGTGGGAGGTTAATTTGAGATAACTCAAATTTTCTGCGGAAATTTATCCACTTTAGGAAAAATGGAAGAAAAATCTTGGGTTCCGGGGAATCGTAACTTTTGTGTAAGAGGGTACCGGGGAATCGAGGCCCGCTAAATCCTGCGACAAGTGGGTTCCGTTTCCCTGTAACTTGCATAACTAAAAAGTCCAGGGTATCGGAACTTTTGGGTGACGTTACCCAGGTACTAAGTTCCAATCCCCCGGCACTTGAATTAGACTGACCGTCACATGAAAAGAGCTAGACTCGTTGACTGTAAAACGAAATAATGGGGATATTCATTACGAGTTTATACTTTTAGAAATGTTTGCAAAGAAGAAAGTTCACAAGTTCGCAAAAAATTTTGGCTTGATAATTTATTCCCAATTTTAAATTTGCAAATTAAATATCTTCAGATGCGAACATGCGAACTCGTTATGAATACCCCCAATATATAACTAAATATTTACACAAATACATATAAGTAAAATACTTTAAAATTTTCTCCAGGATACTGTTGGCCAACCAGGGAAAATTTTGGTAGGATATTTCTATGTGGAAGCTACCTTTCCGTATTTGTCTTCATTTTATATTCTGCGAATCTTATAACGTTCTTAATTCAACCGGTATATCCAATTAAAACATTTCACGACTTGGTGGATCATGGCTACACATTTTTTGGATACCCATACGCGCGGACTTATTTTCCAGAGGTAATCAAAATATTTTACAATGGGCGTACTCATTGTAACGTTCGTATATTTTAGAAATCTCGCAAACTGAGCATACATACATATGTCTACATAACTTTGTCAAGTTTGGAGGAATTGATATATTAAAAAAATGTTTGCTATAGCAAAAGCAATTTTGCAGACGAAATTTTGTAAAAGAAATTTTACTATAGCAATTTTGCAGTAACAAGAAATCTCTTTTTTAGAGATTTTTTTATAAATTTACCAAGCAAATGGAAATATATATATTTTTGCATAGCAATGAGTCACGATGCAAATAAGACATTGTCGTGATTACGCCGAGTAATAAGTAATTAAAAAATGTATTAACTAATTAGTTTACGGTGTGAAATTTGTAGACATTGCCACTGACAACATTTCAATCTGATGATGAATTCGCCGAATCATTAACATCAATCTTCACATTGAAACATTCCCATATCGACATTAGTTTCAATTCTGCTGGAGGGACATTTTTGTACACACGGTTGAAAGAGACGATAAAATTTAGTAAAAATGATGATCAAGTGTGTCACGCCGTCTCGTCGACGAGATTCTTAATATCCAATGTCGCCATATCGACCTCATTTTACGTGGCGAAGAATCAATCCGAGTTGAAAAACGTGCTTAATCGGAGGTATGTAAATAATTAAAATATGTTATGCATTTTTCAGAGAATAATCATCTTTTAATTCTATAGCATTTCCAAAATTCGTGAAACTGGGCTCTTGATTAAACACATGAAGTCCAAAAATATGCTGAGGAGCGACAACTGTCCATCCGATGTGAAGCCAAGCTATCGAGAAGATCTCGGGATGGAGGATGTATTGTCGGGTTTTATGATCTTATTGGCCGGCCTTCTTATCGCATTTGGTGTTTTAGGAATAGAGATTGTAAATAGCACGGAGAAGTATGTTTTTTCAGACTAAAAATAAATAGCTATTTGTTTCAGATATTTCATTATTCACGTATGTAAAAGTTATTATGTAGGTGAATTATTTAAGTGAAAAGTCGAGTAATTAAAAGTTTTTCGTATTCAAGTCCATCGTTGCGTGCGAGGTCTCACGTTTGCCTTTGTCCAAGCTTAGTAATAACAGTGATGAAATACCTAAATATTTAGGGTCTCATTTAATGGGCCAGACTTTTAATTGAAATCACATAACTAAATATATTGAAATTCCATAACTTGAATTTCCAGTACTTTATATGCCTTAAAACAACCTCTATAACTGAATCCATCAGACACGGAATTTCATAACTTATGAATTCATTTATATGTAAAAATCCATCAAAATAGTTACTGTTCAGGTATCCCTTGCTCTTCTAATCAATGGTAAACCATACAATCATAATCTAGAAGTGCACAGTAGTAGAAATCGGAGACACCAAGGAATTTTG